TGAATACAATCACAAACTGAACACATTTACACACAGACTGCTGAATACACGCACATACCAGCTGCTAAATACATGCACACAAATTGCTGAGTACACACATACAGACTGCAGAGTACCCACAGACTGCTGAGTACACACAGGCAGACTGCGGAGTACACACAGACAGACTGCTGAGTACACACACATGTACTGTTGAGTACACACACAAAGACTGCTGAGTGCACACACAGACTGCTAAATGCACACACACAGATTGCTGAGTACACACAAACAGGCTGCTGAGTACACACAGACAGACTGCTGAATGCACACAGGCTGCTGAATACACACACATACAGAGTGCATACACACAGTACACTGAATACACACAAACACACACAGACTGCTGAATACACACAGAATGCTGAATACATACACAGACTGCTGAATGCACACAGGCTGCTGAATACACACACACAGACTGCTGAATACATACAGACTGCTGAATACACACACACAGACTGCTGAATATACACACACACACACTGCTGAATATACACACAGACTGCAGTGAGAGGTGCAGTGTATGTGTTTTTGTTTAGGGGTGTTGTGTGTATGTAGGGGTGAGCGGTGCAGTGTGTGTGTGTGAGGAGCAGTGTGTGTGTGAGGGGCGCAGTGAGTGAAGAGTGCTGTGTGTGTGTGTGTGTGTGTGTGTGAGGGGTGCAGTTTGTGATGGGTGCTGTGTGTGTGAGGGGTACTGTGGTGTGTGTGTGTATGTGAGGGGTGATGAGTGTGTGTAAGAGGTGCTGTGTATGTGTGTCAGAGGTGCTGTGTGTGAGGGTGCTGTGTGTGTCAATGGTGCTGTGTGTGTCAGGGGTGCTTTGTGTGTCAGAGGTGCTGTGTGTGTGTGAGAGAGAGGTGCTGTGTGTGTGAGGGGTGTAGTGTGTGTGTGAGAGAGGTGCTGTGTGTCTGAGGGATGCAGTGTGTGCATGAGAGGTGCTGTTTGTGCGTGAGGGGTGTAGTGTGTGTGTGTGTGTGTGAGAGGGGTGCAGTGTGTAACAGCTGCTGTGTGTGTATGTGATGGTACTGTATGTGTGTGAGGGGTGCTGTATGTGTGTGTATGTGAAGGTGATGTGTGTGTGCTGGGGTGCATTGTGTCAGGGGTGCTGTGTGTGTGTGAGGGGTGCTGTGCCCTAGTGGTCTGGTGGTGGTGAGTTGTTACAACCTCACTTCAGACAAGCTCACTGACACACACACACACACACAAGCTTTCTCACTAGCAGGCACACACACAGAAACACGGCTGAGTATATCAAGTCTACCAAGCAAAGGAAGATGTTGATGGGATGTCAGGTAGCCATTTTCTGGAGCAAGGTTTCCTACTTAACGTGGGAAGGAGCTTGATGGCAGGAGGTGGAGCTTGCATGCAAGGGTGGCGCTTATGACATGGGGCGAAGCCTGCAGAGCAGGAGCCTGTTTGCCAGGGAAACTGCTGGGAAATTGGAGGGAGACTGTCAGTGCTCCCTCCAGCCCCCAGCATCTCTCTATAGCCCCTAGCACCTCTCTATGGCCCCTAGAATCTCCCAGCAGCTCTGTCCTGAATTCCCTCGGACTGTAACAGGCTGTTATAGTCCAAGGGAAAATAATAAAAGCACATGGCCCTGCAAGTTCCGGGACTGATCCGGGAGAGTAAATAGCCCAGGACAGCTCCAACTTTTGGCAACTTTGAACTACAATACAAGGAACTTCCCCAAGTCCTAGGTGTCATTCAATGGCTCTCCACCTCCTCTGTTAACCCTCCAAAAAGCGCTCTGAATAATGGTCTGGGGATCAAGAGCACTCTGTTAAAGGTTTTAGCAGCTTGTGGCTGCTCAGCAATCAGATTCAGAGTTCCAGAAGAGTTCAAGGTAGCTCTTGGTCAAGGGCACCGTAACTCAGCGCCCCACTGATGGACAACTGGTGATTCTGAGTCGGCAAGAGAGTGATGCTAGGCTGGGAGGCACAGGCTGGTGGTGAGTTAGGAAATAGTGATTCTAGTCTTTTGAAAAGAGTTGGAAAGTTGAGGTGAGGTGATCAGGTGGCTTGTCAGACAGGAAGGGGAGCGAATTGCACAGCACTCCCCTCTTGCTAATAACTTTATGTAGAATGGCCGAGCAGGCAGACCATGGTAGAAGAGCTTCTGAGCTGGCACTGGGTAGGGGGACAAAAAAGGGAACAGGAAGGGAGGGGGGACAGAAAAAGGGCACAGGAGGGGTGGGGGGACCGACAAGGGGCACAGGAGGGGATAAAGAAGGGTACAGGAAGGGAAGGGGGGCAAAAAGAAACATAAAGAGGGGCTGAGGGGGAGAAACATAGAGGGGCTGAGGGGTACAAAGAGACAAACAGAGGGGTTGGAGAAGAAACAGATTTACAAAGGGGCTGGGGGTAGAAAGAGGTCTGCCAGCTAGCCACACCAGTCAGCCAGCCACAGTTCCAGCTGCAGCCAGGCTGCCTGCCAACCAGCCACAGCATCAATCCAGGCGCAGCTTGCCAACCACAGAAGCTAACCAGCAACAGTAAATAAGGTGAGAAGGGACAACTTGGGCTGGGTATGTTATAATATTACTATATTGTGAATAGGGACCAGAGTGTTAGAGAGACAGTTGAGGGATCACATATGTACTGCTCATGCGCAGCATGCAGAATTGGTTGAAACTGCTGATTCCGCGTCACTTCTGGCACTCTACAATATTATAAAGTGGAAAATTTAAAGCAACACTATAGGCACCCAGACCACATCAGCTCATTGAAGTGGTCTGAATGCAGTGTCCCAGGTCCCTTAAAGGGATATTCCAGACACCCAGACCACTTCTGCCCATAGGAGGGGTCTGGGTGCCAACGCCCACCACCATTAACCCTGCAAGTGTAATTATTGCGGTTTTTATAAACTGTAATAATTACCTTGCAGGGTTAAGTCCTCCTCTAGTGGATGTCTATCAGACAGCCACTAGAGGGACTTCCGTGTTCTTAGAACACAAAAAGTGTTTTAAAGGACGCTGGACGTCCTCATGCTATATGAGGACCTCCAGCGTCGCCGAAATCCCCATAGGAAAGCATTGGAGAGGTCTAATGCATGCGCATTAGGTCTCCTCCGCCGGCTGACGTCGGCAGGGGAGGAGAGTAGGCGGATTCTGACACAGCGCCGAAGGGCATTGGCGCTGGACTCAGGTAAGTCACTGAAGGGGTTTTAACCCCTTCAGCAACATGGGATGAGGGTGGGAGGGAGATGGGCACCTTGCAATAGTAATTGTTGCAGTTTTTAATAAACTGCAATAATTACATACCAGGGTTAACTCCACCTCTAGTGGCTGGCTAGTACACTATGCATGATGACATCCAGCGTCACCCAAAACCCAATAGGAAAGTATTATGCAATGCTTTCCCATGGGGAAAGTCATAATGTGAGCGTGTTTCATTAGGTTCCCCCCACCGGCTGATGTCAGTGGAGGAGCTGAGGCAGAGCATGAACCAGCACCATTGTCAGGTAAGTGACAGTAGGGGTTTTTAACCCATTCTGCACCACATGGGTTTGGGGGGGTGTCGCGAAGAAGAAGGGTACTATAGGGAGCTACAGTGCCAGTAAAACAATTTTGCTTTTGTGGCACTATAGTTTCCCTTTAACTATAAGTGAGACATTTACTAATTGGTATAGGAACAATAGGTTAAAACATAAAAGTACATAAAAGTAATGCAGGACAACATGAATGAATATTATCATTACCATTGGCTAATGGTCTTAAACTGCAGCTAGAATTTATTCTGAACCCAAAATATGTCAGTCCCTAAATATATCACTGTTTAGATATTTACATATTATAATAATATAATTTATTTAGTACTGACATGTTTAGGGTTCACAATTAATTTGCATGACAATGTTTCCCAAAGCTACCTCACTCTCTAATGCTAATTATTATCAGTCTGTAAACAGGGAAAGGGGTGTGGCATATAAAGTGGGCGTGTCTCGTGTGGGCGGGGTTACGGAAATTGCCGAGGAAGAGCCGAGAGAAAGTTATGCTATTCGGAGGATAGTAGGGGAAACACACTGCCAGTAGTTCTATTCCATAATGTTTACTTTACAATGGCACCAGATGAGCTGATAGGAACAATTCAAGAGTTTCTATGTTCACGTCATGTTTGTATTGCTTTGGCAATGAGTAGTTGCTCTTTTAACACAGTGCAGGACATTGCCCCTTTAAGGCTAGCGGTGCCGCGCTGAATTCTGGGAGGTGACTTTCACATTGAGCAGGAACATGTGAGTATGATGTCAGTGAGAGGGTCCTGGGAGCAGGGTATATGCAGACTGCATGGATCAGAGTACTGCAGCCCTTCTCCCAAACCTGCCTCCTGCCCTGTGCCCAGCCTGCCTCCCTCTGACTCCAGCTCTGTGCCCAGCCTGCCTGCTTCTGACTCCAGCTCTGTGCCCAGCCTGCCTGCCTGCCTCCTGCCCAGCCTGCCTCCCTCTGACTTAAGCTCTGTGCCCAGCCTGCCTGCCTCCTGCCCAGCCTGCCTCCCTCTGACTTAAGCTCTGTGCCCAGCCTGCCTGCCTCCTGCCCAGTCTGCCTCCCTCTGACTCCAGCTCTGTGCCCAGCCTGCCTGCCTCCTGCCCTGTGCCCTGCCTCCTGCCCAGCCTGCCTCCCTCTGACTCCAGCTCTGTGCCTAGCATGCCTGCCTCCTGCTCTGTGCCCAGCCTGCCTGCCTTCCCCTGGCTCCTGCTCTGTGCCCAGCCTGCCTTCCCCTAGCTCCAAGTTAGTCCCCAGCCAGCCTGCCTTCCTCTGGCTTCAGCTCTGTGCCCACCCTGTCTTCCCTTAGCTCCAACTCACTCTCCAGCTAGCATTCCTCCTCCTGGCTCCAGGTCTGTGCCCACCCTGCCTTCCCTTAGCTCCAGCTCTGTGCCCACCCTGCCTTCCCCTAGCTCCAAGTTAGTCCCCAGCCAGCCTGCCTTCCTCTGGCTTCAGCTCTGTGCCCACCCTGTCTTCCCTTAGCTCCAACTCACTCTCCAGCTAGCATTCCTCCTCCTGGCTCCAGGTCTGTGCCCACCCTGCCTTCCCTTAGCTCCAGCTCTGTGCCCACCCTGCCTTCCCCTAGCTCCAAGTTAGTCCCCAGCCAGCCTGCCTTCCTCTGGCTTCAGCTCTGTGCCCACCCTGTCTTCCCTTAGCTCCAACTCACTCTCCAGCTAGCATTCCTTCTCCTGGCTCCAGCTCTGTGCCCAGCCTGCCTTCCCTTAGCTCCAGCTCTGTGCCCAGCCTGCCTTCCCTTAGCTCCAGCTCTGTGCCCAGCCTGCCTTCCCTTAGCCCCAGCTCTGTGCCCAGCCTGCCTGCCTTCCTCTGGCTCCAGCTCTGTGCCCAGCCTTCCTTGCCATGGGGACAGCTTTGGACACTGTCTGCTTTTTTATGATTGAATCTCTGTATATGAATTACAATACTGCAGCTCATACTGTAAATACCTTGTAATTGGTTAATTGTTAGGTCTTAATCTGTAAGTGTTTCATTGCAAAAAAAATATCAGACCCTCACTAGGAAAACAGAAAAAAACTTACATGAAACTATTGCAAGCTATATTCACTTATTTACAAAAGTTTACAGAGTTTGGTTCATGAATGAATAACAATTAAAATATGGTCTATGATGACACTATTTTTCTGTATATATTTTACAGAGCGCAATTTAACCTGCAAAAAGCGGCATTGTGACATCGCTGCTGGCAGTCTGGTTGGCCCCTGGGACAGGTAAGGGTGAGATTACTTACTTGAACCTGTCCCTCGTGGGCGCCGCCATCTTGGTCGCGTTTCTCAACTCCTGTCGCTTCAGTGCCAGAAGCCAACGTCACTGCTGTACTCTCATGCATGAACGAGCGTAGATAATTGAGGTCTATATAGTTACATAGTTACATAGCTGAAAAGAGACTTGCGTCCATCAAGTTCAGCCTACCTCACATTTGTTTTTTGCTGTTGATCCAAAAGAAGGCAAAAAAAACCCAGTTTGAAGCACAATTTTGCAACAAACTAGGAAAAAAATTCCTTCTTGACCCCAGAATGGCAGTCAGATTTATCCTTGGATCAAGTAGTTATTACCCTACATTGAAAGATTATATCCTTGAATATTCTGTTCTTGCAAGTATGCATCTAGTAGCCGTTTGAACATCTGTATGGACTCTGATAAAACCACTTCCTCAGGCAGAGAATTCCACATTCTGATTGTTCTTACAGTAAAAAACCTTTCCTTTGCCTTAGACGAAATCTTCTTTCTTCCAGTCTAAACTCATGGCCTCGTGTCCTATGTAAAGTCCGGTTTGTGAATAGATTTCCACACAATGGTTTGTATTGGCCACGAATATATTTGTATAATGTTATCATATCCCCTCTCAGGCGACGTTTTTCTAAACTAAATAGGTTAAAATTTGTTAACCTTTCTTCATAGCCGATATGTTCCATTCCTTTTATTAATTTTGTAGCCCGCCTCTGCACTTTTTCTAGTGCCATGATATCCTTCTTTAGAACAGGTGCCCAAAATTGCACAGTATATTCAATATGGGGTCTTACCAGTGATTTATAAAGAGGCAAAATTATATTCTTGTCCCGAGAATGAATGCCCTTTTTCATGCATGACAATACCTTACTGGCCTTGGCTACTGCTGATTGACATTGCACATTGTTGCATAGCTTGTTGTCTATAACAATTCCCAAGTCCTTTTCATATGTTGTTATCCCTAATTCGCTTCCATTAAGGGTATACGTTGCTTGTGTATTCTTTATGCCGAAGTGTATAACTTTGCATTTTTCAACATTAAATTTCATCTGCCATTTGAGTACCCAGTCCCCCAGTCTATCTAAGTCCCTCTGCAGCAAAGTAATATCTTGCTCACATTGTATTGTTTTACAAAGTTTGGTGTCATTTGCAAACACTGAAACATGACTTTCAATGCGGTCTTCAAGATCATTTATAAACATGTTAAATAGAAGGGGTCCCAGAACAGACCCCTGAGGGACACCACTTGCCACCTCTGTCCAGCTTGAAAATTTACCATTAATGACAACTCTTTGTACTCTGTTTTTAAGCCAATGTTCTACCCAAGAACAAGCATTTTCATCTAGACCGATTTCCTTGAGTTTGAACACTAATCTATTGTGTGGAACTGTATCAAATGCCTTGGCAAAATCCAAATAGATCACATCCACGGCAACACCCTGATCTATACTTCTACTTACTTCTTCGTAGAACGCAATCAAGTTAGTTTGACATGACCTGTGCTTCATAAAACCATGCTGATTTTTGCTGATAACCATGTTCTTCTCAAGGAATTCTTGAATATTATCCCTTAATAACCTTTCAAATATTTTACCAGCCACAGAAGTTAAGCTCACAGGTCTATAATTTCCAGGCAAGGATTTTGAACCCTTTTTGAATATAGGAACCACATCTGCCTTCCTCCAATCCTCCGGAACACTTCCTGAAAGAAAAGAATCTTGAAAGATTAAAAACAGAGGTTCACTTATTTCTGCACTTAGTTCCTTAAGTACACGTGGATGGATACCGTCAGGCCCTGGAGCTTTGTTTATATTAACTTTCTTTAGTTGCTGCAGCACCTTGTCTTGAGTTAACCAATTACAATTATTCTGCAAGTTTTTAGTAGCAATCATTTGCACATCTATTGCCATGGGTTCTTCCTTAATATATACGGAGGAGAAATAGTTATTTAAAATTCCTGCCTTTTCCTGGTCTTCATTAATTAACACCCCCGTTTCAGTTTTTAGTGTACCTACACTTTCATTTTGTTGGTTTTTTAGAATTTATGTACTTAAAAAATGCTTTGGGGTTGGTTTTGCTCTCTTCAGCTATCATTATTTCATTTTGAAGTTTAGCAAGTCTAATTGCCTTTTTGCACGCATTATTTGCATCCTTATATCTTTTATAAGATGCATCTGATTTGTCCGATTTGGAGAACTATACAAGAACACGGGATCTTCCACAGACACAGTCAATTCCCTACAGTCATCATTGATGACCACTGTAGGGATTGATACGTAGGCTCCATCTTGTGTCAAGTGGAGAAGAAATGCAGAGACAAAGTAGTCCCTACTTTTTCTCTTTATATCTCTTGACAAGGTTGGAATTTCAGTGAGATTCCAACACAGCCATAATGAGTATTTCATACAGATTCTATCTTTATAAAATACTAATTTTTCAAGGGGTGATGACCAGGCCGCTTTAAATGTTACCCATTAATACATAAACAGGCAGTGTGAAAAATAAAGTTTCCCTGTCCTTTCTAATTAGTAGTATAGTTCTAGAACAGAATATTGTTAACAGCATTAAGTATATAAAATACCACCTTAGATGAATTGTTGTCTGACAGCAGAAGGGACCAGTTTTGGGGCATTCTTAGTATTTCCTTGTGTATATTTACTGTTAATTCTGCTACATCACAGAATATTAAACAATGTATTTGTCATTTTAGGTGCACATATATAATATGGAGATGATGGGAAGCATCGAGGTGCCTACAATACACTAGTTTCTGCTACCGGACTGCATTCATGAACTTACACAGAATCCTGTTTTTATGATGCCAACAGGCTGGGCATATGCATAACAACATACCCCGATTTATCTTTATTTTGCAAAGATATGTTTTCCTTAAGTTCACATCACACAGCAAAATGCCTGCATGTTTGGAAGCACAAGATTTGTGTGCGTTTCAGACACTCCTGTATGTGGAATTTATGTGGTACAAATCTATGCGGTCAACGTGCCTTCCTAGAGAAAATTCATTGCTCAAACCTTCTTCATCAAGTGCATTATAGTTCCCAAAAGGTAGGGTTGCTGGATTCATTCATTACAATTGTACAAGGACCTTTTACATTGAGTTAATCTAATTCGTAAATTGTTTACTGCATTTTTAATGCACTGTTTTAATTGTTTGGTATTTTAAGTCACTTTGTGATTTTGAGACTTTCTTTATCTTGAATGCAGGTAAGTTGTGGGTAAAATAACCTTTACCTCATATTTTGCCCCTTATTAACAAATGTAGTATGAATAACTAGCTCATAAACTTAAAACAGATCTACCACTTTTGAAGTTGTGTTTTTTTGCAAAGACCACCCCCATGGTAAAATGTCCATTTACATATGCTTTCAAAACAGTAATATTTTATAGTATTCCATAGATCATGTTAAGCAAGAAGACATCATGCATCTGTGAGATGCTGTATGTATCATGGGTGAATGTTAATGGGAAACAGCAAGTGTCAGTAGCTCCATCCATTGACTCATTTTGATTATAAAAACACTTGTCTTGTTCATGATAGAAAGGTAATCCATCTTTTGTTTTATGTCCTATTTTGATTGCAGTGGAATTTTAATTCAATTTCAATGTAGTCTTTGATCTTTTCATACATATTCCATATGTTCTATTTTGTATTTTTCAGGAAAAAAAAAATTAGATTTTCATAGATCTGACCATCCTTTACATAAATCTTATAATCCTTTAAATCAATACAGGAGGGTTAAAAAGAGATTAATGGAGCATTCTGAGCAACATAACTTCATTGGAATAGAGTTATGGTGCCAGGAGGTCCATGACGCTGGCTGCTTCAAGGGTTAAACCATTAATGAACGGTTTAACCTACAAAGTGTTTGAACCCAGGGATAGTCAGCTCTGCCCAACACATTCAGTTTCTGTCCAAGGCTTGAATCTGGAAGCTTTGGACAGAGGCACCACTGATAAGCTAAGAGTGTCAGCTGACACTCTCTCAAACCATCAGCACTTCTCAGTCCAAGGCTTTCTGATTCAACCTTCGCACATGATGCCACAATGAGACCCAGCTTTTAGACTATGAAGTAATTAATGGTATCCCTGGATGTATTTACAGGTGATTGCGCGGTAAGATAAAGCAGTGCTCATAACATAAATTTTGGATTTTATTGGTGGCAATGAAGTCACAGGAAATAATTTTCATCTGCACAAATCACTGGAATTGCTCCATCATGCTGCGCAAGTTGTACTGAAGGAGGTTGCAGGGATATATTCTGTGACACCTTGCTACTATAGCAGCCTCCATCTGCAAATTCTAGGACCGTCCACATAGAGATCTGTGAGTTTCATGCACCAAAAAAAGGCTATTAGTTTGTACTTGCCCCGCAGATGAAACATTGCTAGATCACAAGATAGGCAAAACAGAATCTCAAGGAGAAGAATGGATCATCTGGAAAAACCAAAGTCAGTTGGGAAATAAAATGGATTGGCATATTACAATGAGATCGCACCTGGGCTCTTCTGGCACTATAACCACTACAATGAACAGTACTTGGAGTGTTCCTTTAATAATGCGGAAGTGTAAATTTCACACTATCAATGCGGTTATGGAGGGGACAGTCTCTGAATGCTGTGGAGAGCCTTCCAATCAAACCGCTCCAATTGGTTGCTAACAAACAGTGGTTCAGGGCCCAAAGACTATTGTCCGCTTAACCACTACACCAAGCTGTTGTGGTTATGTTGCTTCAAGTGCTCTTTTAATAAAAGTGGCACATAATATGTGACTGTTGGCCACTGACTGGTATGGTTTATCCTATGTTTTATGCCATTTATGTATTATAAACCTTTAGTTGTGTGTGTTCTGTATTGCAGGAAAAGCTTGACATGTCTGAATATTCTGTAGACTGTATTAGAAATTTCAGTATAATAGCCCATGTGGACCATGGCAAAAGTACTCTTGCTGACAGGCTTCTTGAAATTACAGGTACGTAAATATCCCGAAGAATTATAACTTTGTTACCCTTTAATTGTTTTGAGACTTATTTGATTCTTATTTATTTTTATCAAGGGCGTATTCCGAAAGCAGACTCTAATAGGCAAGTTTTGGATAAGCTGCAAGTGGAGCGAGAAAGAGGAATAACAGTGAAAGCACAGACTGCATCACTTTTTTACACCTTTAAAAACAAAAAGTATCTTTTAAATTTGATAGACACCCCGGTAAATTCCACATATATCCCTTATTTATTTTTAGATATTTTAGATTTTACGTTTTAAACGCTCTTTTCAGTATTTGTTTTCCATTGATTATTTCTAAAGAACTTGATAACATTTCTATTTCTGTCATTTGATCATGGTGTATGCAAGACTATATGAAATGTTGTATAGCATACAAGATCTACTTATTTGAAGAGTGTTGCCCCATCCAAGATGGCTACCAGCAATGGGTGTTCATATGATTTACTCAACATTCTATATAGACCAGCATCCAGCTAGGTTTAATGACTGAGTGTTTAGATAACTTCAGAGAACAGATTTGTAGTCTTTTACCTCTATTGCAATGGTGTAGGCAGCACTCCTACTTTGGGAGCGTTTAAGAGCCTGAGTATTGCTACTGTGCATCTATCACACTAACATTTCTGGGTGTTGGGAAAAGATACTTTAACATGGACTTTGTAGCACATCAAAGGGTTAGAAGAAGGAGGAATACTAAAATGGCAATATATATGTGTACTAGTGTGTTTGTGTGATTATGTATGTGACTGTTTTCCCAGACGTAAGGGGATGAAAATTTGCTGGGGGTGCACAGTTTCATTAAATAGACTGATGGCAACCAGACTAACCTCTTAGGGGTCCTGTTAGGATGAGCTGTGGAACCAAATTTGTCTCACCAGGGAAATGCGAATGGATCTATGATTACAGAAAAAGGCGACATAGAAGAAACATGTAGTTTGAGAATAAAATCTAATCTATGCATTTGGTAGCACAATATATGGAAGTATCACTATGTAATGTTGCCATAATGTGAAGAAAAGTGTCCTAAACCGTGCATTGCAAATTGCCGTTTGGAAGCACAATACATACCCATAAGTGTTTGGGTTAACAAGGTCACATGGCCTAAAAGCTGTCACATGGATAAAAATGTATACAGAAAATAAATTTAATGAAAATAAAGTGTATATATAATCACACAATGGTCATATAGCATAACTAGGATACTCATACACAAAAATTAGAATAGCAATAGTGCAATGATATGTATACATATATAGTGTGAATCACTGAATTGGACATGATGTGACTAAGAACAAGCATGAACACCTGGGTCCAGTGAACATATTCAAAATAACTACTGGTATCATACACCCTATGTACCAATGCCAAAAGAGAGGATATATATAAAAAAAAAAGGAAAATGGTAGGCATTAGACAGATAACTCATAATTTCAGAAATTAATAGTGTAAGTCAATTTCTCTGAGGCTACATAATTCTGTAAGCCAATCAGCATCACCCCTAACAACTTTATTTTAATGAAGTTATGGTGCCCAAACCTGTCAGTTGAACTGGAAAAGGTAAGGGGGAAATCTGCTTACATCATAAAAAGCACATTACGGTTTGTTTGTTTTTTCATTTTTTTTTTTTTCAAAACTCAATGTACACTCAAAATTTAAATAGTCTCTGACAAGTTTAGCTTTGGATAGCTATACACATTTATGCATTATGCTGGTGAAATTACCACCATCAAATCTGTATCTTAAAGCTTTTGCCTCCTCCTAAATAACTACTGGAATCTATGTGTCCCTGCCTAAATATACCAAACACATTCCAGGTGGGATATTGCACACATTTGTGGAAGGGTTTATGCAAGGGTAGACAATACTAATTTACACATATAAACATGGGCAAAGGTGAGGGAACTTATTTAGGCTGTTTGGAGGTTGGCACTTATATCGTGTTAGAGCATGAGTATTACATTTAATTCCTTAATAATGTCCGCTCATACATACGCTAATAGTTTGTCTCATTGTGTTAGTACACGTGGGCATACATTTAAAGATTTTGTGTGTTGCTCTTTGTATAATGTAAATTGCTTCTCTGTGTATTTTCCAGGGTCATGTTGATTTTAACTATGAAGTTTCAAGGTCCCTTTCTGCTTGCCAAGGTGTCCTGCTTGTGGTCGATGCAAATGAGGTCATTTTTCTTTTTACTTAATTAACTTCTTAAAACTTAATGGTTGAGAAAATAGGCACACTCATAGCATAAATGTGGTTAGAATAATTGTGTATATAGTGCTCAAAACTCCAGTTTAATTACATTACATTAAACTCCACAATCAATAAATGAGCGAGAGATACCCATACCATCAATGAAGAACTCAATAAACTGAAAAATAAGTATACCATTAGATAACCAAAAATAAATACTGACTACAAAAAAGTAGGTAGAAGTGGACTGATATCCAGATAGGTTAGGCTGCAAAACATTGCACCGAGGTACAAGTGCAAATTCTATCTGCCATCCATAGCATTTTGTGATCATTTTGGGCGATTGCATATTAAGTCCTATCCTCTTGGTATTGTCTAGGTGTAGATTAACTCTCAAGTTAGTTTTTCTGGGGTTCTAACTTGAGATTACAAATGTTACTCTTTCTATGTAATGCTATACTTTATTGATGGTAAAATTATAGTGGGGAAAAAAAGCTAATTGGTCAGACTCAGAAATCTTTTTTTTAAAACGATATTTTCTATGTTGTTTATATTTTGAGTGCCCTCCTTTTTGGACACATTTTTTTTCATTTTTTTTTTTTTTTTTACTTTTAAAGCCTCAAATGGTTGGAATTGCCACTGATGGCTTATATGTACACGGGCGGCATCAGTATTTCATAATGATTATAGCTAAATTATTTACTGAAATTAAAACAATGCACATATTGACTATTATTTTTCCATCTCAGCTCATGGAAAAAAATCTAGTTATGCATATTTCTATATTTTATGTATTGCCTAAATAGCAGTACTTGTATGAACATTAGAGGGAAACATCTGTGTAATGAGTTTAATGTAGCATTCTTTAGATGGTCTTTAATATCGCTATTTTTATTTTCTCCTTTAAGGGTGTTCAAGCGCAGACTGTGGCAAACTTCTTTCTGGCCTTTGAAGCACAACTTTCAATTATTCCAGTTATAAACAAGGTCAGGAACAAACGTGGATGGCCATTGCTTCTTTCAGATATATAGCTTTACACTGGCATAAAAAATGTGTTTGGGCTCTTATGACACGTCCTGCAGACTGCGAAAATTAGTCAAGTGTCGTCTGTGCTTATTTGCATACTTCATATAGCATTCTGTGAGCGGTATATGATCTTTTAGAGTTGTTGTGTGATAAATAGATGTGTTTTACCACTGCGTTTATAATTGTATCAGGTAAAAAAAATATTTTATTTTTTTCCAGATTGATTTAAAGAATGCAGAACCAGAAAGAGTAGAAAAACAAATTGAAAAAATGTTTGACATTCCAGGAAGTGACTGCATTAAGGTATTTACACGTTATTAAGGTTTTTGGTTTTTTTTTTGTCTGTAATATTACAAATCTAGGTGATAGTTTAATATGATACATATATAGTATAATATGAATGTTTTTTTCAAGTTTTTGTTCACTTGTTTTGTATTCATTGTCATCTTGGACAAGATGTTGCAAAACACAGTATAATATCTAGTGTATTTAATGGTATTGGAAAGAGAAATTCATTTTTTCTTTTTAATTATTATTGTTCCCTTTGTTACCCACATCTTTATATACATTATTCTAGATTTCTGCTAAGTTTGGGACAAATGTGGAACGCGTTCTAGAAGAAGTTATAACCAAAATCCCACCGTATGTATTTCTTTCTGTTGTAATCACTTTATAAATAATACTGAACAGAGCTTTTTGTTGCTAAAGTTTACAATGTTCATACTGTAAAGTTTTTATTTTTGTAATTTTTAACTTCATTTTGGTATATTTTTTTTTTATAGTAAGATATGGTTTTTGACAAAGTTAAATGTAAATTTATAATTTTACACATTTACCCAAATGATTATTTTCATGGAATGTGACCTGTTAAAGATGATAACATGATTTTCCATATCTCTGGATTTTATTTATTTATTTTAAAGATAGTTGGTGTGACGCTCACCGTATATAGCACTATAAAGGGAAGGTAAAAAATATATTGAAATATACAGAAAGTCACGTTGAAGGGGGAAAAAAGCCACATTTATAAATAGACAAATAGGCAGAAGAAAACAGGGTTACAGCAAAATGTACTCATTAAAGGGGAATCTGAAAATAGGTTCTGTAACAAGACCAGTTCTTAGACTGAACTAAAGGAAAAGTAAGCAGGACTCGAGTGGTTCAGTCCTGTTTTCCTATATGTATAACTAGCGTATTACTGTCTAAAGTAACCATTAAAAATTTTTTCCAGTTAACATATTTTTTATTTTACATTTTTAGACAGGTTTTAGCATTAGTGTTAGAAGCCTTCACAACCCATTCTCAGAGTGCCCAGAACTACTGCAATGACCGTTTCATATCGGAATGAATTATATTTTGACATTTGTACTGAATGAATAAAATGTGTGTGTTCTAAATCTGAGCCTAAACTGTATAGACTGGAATTAAACCTATTGTGAATTATGCAATTCCAGATTATTGGCTATGTTATAATAACAAATTGTACTTATTACCATTTATTATGTTTTTTTTTACCTTTATTTGTTCCAGACCGAACATTGACCAAAAGAGCCCATTTAAAGCTCTTTTGTTTGACTCCACATTTGATCATTACAGAGGAGCAGTGACTAACGTTGCACTCTTTGGGGGACAGGTTTGCAAAGGCCACAAGATTGTGTCTGCCCATACAGGAAAGAGCTATGAAGTTAACGAGGTTGGCATACTAACACCTGAAGAGGTTCCTGTAGAAAAGCTGTAAGTGTGTTTTACTTATTGTATTGTATTACAGAATGCAATTTTGTTTGCTTTTAATGAAAAAATTACATTTTGTGCTCCAGTTTGGGATTTTTTTGGATTGAAGGAAATATGCAACTATTTTATACTTGTGCAATTAATTTCACCGAGCTTTTTAAGACCCCCAAAAAAACAAACAAACAACTTTATTATTTATTTATTTTTGGTCGTCATTTAGCTATGCTGGACAAGTAGGCTACCTAGTTGCTGGAATGAAAGAGGTGAAGGAAGCTCAAATTGGAGACACACTTTATCTGCAGAAATATCCTGTAGAGCCTCTGCCAGGGTTCAAAAACGCTAAACCAATGGTATTTGCAGGTAAGCAACATCAAGGTTACATACAAGGTTATTCAGTAAAGTGTGAACTCTTGGAAGTTAATTCACAATAAACTTTCTGCTAAAATTATGCCGATATGGGAAATAACCCAAATCAGTTATGTTTTCAGTTCAGTTATTTTAGCTTAAAGGAGCACTAAAATCAATCAGTCCATTTACCTCAATGAAGTGACCTTGGTGCTTAATGTTTAACCCTAAAATGTAAAGCTTTGCAGTTTTGGAGAAACTTCAATGTTTACATGGGGAAATCTGACGCGCGTTCTGCACTCAGTGCATGCACATCTGGTCCCCAATGCTTCTCTGAGTAGTACTGAACTGGACATCAACAGACTAGGCTATGCCTCTTCTGTGTCTTCGTGGGAGGAGGAGAGATAAGTAGCACAGCGGAAGCATCTGTGCTAGAAAAAAAGGTAAGATGGGGGGATGATCTATAAACTTAGGGACAGGAACACTAAAGCGTTAGGAAAACATTTATTTTTATTTTTTTTCCCCAATGCTTTAGTGTTCCTTTAATTCCCAACAGTGCACACTTTAGTGAATAACCTTACCTACAAATAAAACAATGAAAATCATATTAACATTTCTTTATGTAATGCTTATTATTTTTATTTATTTATTTCTTAAAGCCTTAGCATTTTACATCACTATCCAGTTCAGTTCTGGCACATTTGTGCTGTACATTGCATTGAAGGAGAAGGAATGGAAACATTGAGGCAAAATAATTACTTTAAGAAACGTTGGCGTATTGGAAAATGTGTACTATGATGACTGATGGGTTTCTTTCCCTAAATTCTCTGAAAGCACAGTGCTCCAGGCTAGCGACTTTGGCAGGTTTTACTTTCACACCACAAGAGGGGATAATCACCAAAGTTAACTCTAAAGTTTACAGTACTTGAACAAGGAGTGTGCCAGGCGAGCGCCAGCAGACTTTTTTTTAAAATTTAACTTTAACTTACACATGTATATTTGGTTTGGGTCGGCTAACAAAAAAACTTGTTTTGCTTTGTTTTTGTTTTTTTTAAAGTGACATGCATCACTTGACAAATATTATTTTTTATTTTTATTTTTTTTAGACCATCAAGCAAACACTTTTAAACAAATATACAAAACAAACTAAAGCAAGAAAACTTTGAACGTATTTAATGTTTTACTTGCCTTTCTTTTCGGCCTGCAGAATGACACAACTCTCTCATTCAATGCTAACGCTTTTGAATGACTCGGTTGTCTCATAGTGATGCATGTCCACTTAATATTTCGTGTTTTAATGGACTGGGGTATTTCAAATAGACATGCATTTTTTTATTTGGTTTTTTTACTCTGTACACTTAAAGGGATGCTTTAAAAGTGACAAAATTGTTTTGTTTAAAAGCGTAGCTACGTTGCGAAAAACTTTTTTGTTTATACAAACTTTGTTTTACCTCTAATATGATTGGTAGCAGCCTGATCATATCATTCTCCCAGTTAGCTATGCTCCCAGTGTAACTACTTTTGACCTTAAAAAATTATAAATTTACTTTGAATTTGCTTGAAATGCCCAACAATTCTCACTTTAGTAAATAATCCTGTAATGTGTGTGGAAGGCATTGCCACTGAATAAAGGAGACTGTGTGTGTGCATCCACACAAATCATGCATTGTAGTAAAGCAATAAGGGTTTTGCTTTAACACCTTAAAAAATGTCCTGTGGTCAGAGCTTTGCACGTTGCATCTGTTCATTTTCAGTTGGAGTTCAGGAGTAGGCTGATGTGTTAGCAACCGGAGAATTTGAAGTGACACATTCAGGTTAAAGTGGCACTGTCACTCTGACCTCCCCCCCGCCCACAAAAAAAAAAGTATTTCATAAAGATGATTGTGTCCTGCAATGGTATACAATATGACTTTAATAAGCATTTTTGGTTTTCTGTTCAGGCATTTTTATTCTGCTTGGTCAATTACTCACATGGTAATCAATCTCATATTCCATAGTGGCACCTCATATTTTTTTTTTTTATATATATATATATATATATATATATAATTTTAGAAGGAATATGAAGGGGGGATCTATAGCAGTGAATGGCTTATGTTGGCTATACAGACATTTGTGAATATTTCCCATGATGCTTAGTCAGCTCTTTGGAAATCTAGTTCACAAACAACTGTCAAGATTAGCCATCATTTTCTCTTGGGGTTATCTTCTTTTTGCAACATTGTCAGTTTGTTTGTGCATAACTAAAGAGACTTGTAGTACATTGTAATTAAAATAAATAATACTTGCCATGTTAGGTTTCATCTGAACTACGGAGCTTATACTTTGCATTTCCATGACTCATTTATCTTTTAGCTAACCTATTTATGTTGTTCTCAAAAGGCATGTATCCAGTTGACCAATCTGAATACAACAACTTGAAGAGCGCTTTAGAAAAATTGACATTGAATGACTCGAGTGTAACTGTTAATCGGGACAGCAGTGCTGCACTGGGAGCTGGCTGGAGGTAAGCCTTCGTTTTTCATTTTGTGAGATTGAAAGCACTGTTGAAATAGTACATTAAAGACAAAACAATGTCACAGAAGTCCTGTTGATTGTGCAAATCGGCAGCTACTACAAGGTCCAGGAAATTGTTGAGATCTTGTGACCAATCTGTAATTTCCTATTGTTTTGCATTTGATTACTATACTTAGGCTATGAAAGACAAACATATTTACTATTGTTATTATTAAATCATCATCATATTCTTCAACTCTGTACAATGGGTTGTGTGAGCTGTAGACGTTCGTGAGGACCAAGTTAAAACAAGATTATAATTTGAAGGAAGTGGAATAGAGAAGAAGCAGGACTTATTAAATACAAAACGTAGATTTAAATGACAAGACGTTAATTGGTTCGTTGTTCGACTGAATAGGAAAAGTATAATTTACTAGCTAAGGATATTCTATATAAATAGGCAGTCCATGAAATATTTTGAAAATAGGATTAGGCAGTAAGTGTGAAAAGAGCAAGAGCGTCTTTCGCAGGATGGTCCATACTTGTTTTGTTATCAGGGTTCTACATTCTGTGTAGACAGTTGGAGTCCATACCACGTAAAATGTGAAATGTTTGCTGATGTCTAACTGTAGGAGTGCCCTGGCGAGAAGAAATTTACCCCTGGTGACTGTGCCATAGGCTCTCTAAACTTAAAGTGGCAAGCGACCTTTAAAGCCTGACTAGTAGGGCAGGAGTTGAAATTTTAAGCTCTGGCTATTTTTTTTTTATTCTTTATTTTTGTAGTGCATTGCCAACATCTCAGGTAAGTATAGACATGTGAAAGTATAACAGTAAGGAGTGTCAAAAGAAAAACACCAGGTAAGCAAGCCCCTTGACTTAACCCTTATTAGCCTATGCCCTCTGGTTATACATCACAGTCATGCCAAGAGGTGACCTTTCAGTGGGCCACAGGTTCAATTGGTGAGAAGGTGCCAGACTGTGGTGAGTTTGAGGAATGGTCCCAAGGCGTTTGTAATGGTTTCCTAAGCAAGTAGTGCACTGGCTCCCTGCATGTATAGGGCCCTGGCATTTCGTGCCAAATGTGGACAGAACATTGTTTCCCAACCCCCTTCCGCAGACAATGTTGGAGTTTCCAGGGCTTGTCTCAAGCATGTACTCTGGTTCGGTTCCCTCTTGTGGATATCCACACCCTGGTTTGGATGTGCACAGTGCCATGTAGATGGAGTCCAGGTAGGCGCCAGTGGAACATACACAGAAGCTCCCAGGCGGCAGGTGAGTTTAAACCAAAATTCTGCGAACAATCTGTCCATTTTATCCAGGATAGAAGTTTTTTAGGTCTCAGGGTGTGGATACAGCACGTACCTGAATATCCCTTTACGGTAGGGTGGGAGAGAGTAGGGGAAACCTTGTGAGGTTTGTTAGGCAGTAGGTATAGGGATTGGCCGCCTCCCTCTTTCCGTCTGTGAGTAGGCCTCTGGAAGGCCGCAGGATCTGCCAACATTATCTACTGAACTCGATCACGGTCACAGCTAGAAGATCCACAGTTGGGTCCACTCAGTTGCCGAGTAGTTTTGGCTGCTGAAGAGCTGCAACTGTCGACCATTAGTCAGTAAATAAGGCTTTTATATAGAGTTTTTCCTCAGAGCACTCTGGATGTGCATCCGATCAGCGCAGCAGTCAGGTTCCACCCACAGCCCTGGTATTTTTTTACATTTATTTATTTTTACTACTCCTTTAATCTTATCTTAATTCGCCCAACACCACAAACGTTTGTGGTGTGCTCGCTACTTGTGTTATTATTTGCTAAACTGAGAATTGGCTACTTTGGCCTTAAATCTAAAATTCAGTTTGAATTTCCAGCAAACTGGTACATTCTCCCAGTTAGCTGTGCTCCCAGTGTAACTACTTTTGACCTTAAAAAATTATAAATTTACTTTGAATTTGCTTGAAATGCCCAACAATTCTCACTTTAGTAAATAATCCTGTAATGTGTGTGGAAGGCATTGCCACTGAATAAAGGAGACTGTGTGTGTGCATCCACACAAATCATGCATTGTAGTAAAGCAATAAGGGTTTTGCTTTAACACCTTAAAAAATGTCCTGTGGTCAGAGCTTTGCACGTTGCATCTGTTCATTTTCAGTTGGAGTTCAGGAGTAGGCTGATGTGTTAGCAACCGGAGAATTTGAAGTGACACATTCAGGTTAAAGTGGCACTGTCACTCTGACCTCCCCCCCGCCCACAAAAAAAAAAGTATTTCATAAAGATGACTGTGTCCTGCAATGGTATACAATATGACTTTAATAAACATTTTTGGTTTTCTGTTCAGACATTTCTATTCTGCTTGTTCAATTACTCACATGGTAATCAATCTTATATTCCATAGTGGCACCTCATTTTCCAAGTAGATTCATTAAAGGAACACTATAGCACCAAAGCAATTTAATGGTGTAAAGTCCATGCCCCCACACCCCAGTCTCACTGCTCAGTTCTCTGCCATTTAGGAGTTAAATTACTTAGTTTTTTGCAGCTCTAGTTGCCGCCTCCCTGTACAACCTTCATTAACACTTCCTGTAAGTGATGTCTAATGTTTAAACATCCTTCATTGCATATTCTGTTTCATTTAGAATAGTATTATCTCCTGCTCTATTAATAGCCTTCTGGACCCTGCTGGAGCCTCCTGTATGTGGTCAAAGTTCAATCTTCAGAGCAGGAGATAAAAACTTCGAAAACAAGTTAACATGTGATTGAAAATGAGTTTGGCTCAGGTAGCATAAGCAACATCAAGAGTGCTTCATTAGTGCTTTATCTAAAGTTGTCTTGATGTCTCTAGTGCCCCTTTTAATTTTCTCCACTGCCACTTTTTGCCTCAACAGACATAAATTCTTTCAACTGTACGCTTATAGATCATCCTGCATTATACAAATGCTAGATTGTAAATATACAGACTAGATCATTTTATTTTGAATCAGCATGTTAAAAGATATGATTGCTAGGATATCTGGGAATTTTATTTTTATTTTTTTATATTGTGATTTGGATAATAAATGCATGTGATTTTAACAGAGTTTTTTGTTAACCAGGTTAGGCTTCCTTGGACTTTTACACATGGAAGTTTTCAACCAGCGCTTGGAACAGGAATACAACGCTTCAGTAATTATGACTGCACCCACTGTTCCATACAAGGCTAAACTATCTTCGCAAAAATTAATAAAGGTATGCTTCTGTGTTTTTATTCCTGTTTTTGTTCGAAAGATGTTTCACAGCATAGAAATATTTCACAAAAAGTTCTGTATCTGTGTTGCCTTTCAAGACTCAAAGACTCAAAATCTTGAATAAAATATTTCACAGGAACAATGTATTTGTAGGGGTGTGTGTGTGTATGTATGTATGTATGTGTGTATATATATATATATATATATATATATATATTTATATATATATATATATATTATACATATTATACACTACACTACACACCTTTATTCTCACAGCATACAGTATCTGTTTCACTTTCAGAGGTCTTGTTGCTGTTTTTGGCAGCACTGTGGGAACCTTGTGTTTTGCTGTGAAAATGTGAAACATTAAAAATGGATTGGCAATCTTATGGGAATAATATTCTCATAAATTTGTTAGTTAACCTCATGGCACAGAACACAGACAAATGGATGATTCCAAAAGCCAAAAATATTATTAGATCTCTAGATCTAAAAATAGAGCGAAACCTTCATAGTAAATGGGAGAAATACTTCACTATCACTCTTACAGAATTAGACCTAATAAAAGCGCTTGAAGGCGTAACTTCCTCTGTACATTCTTTGAACCTCATAGAAAATCATCATTATAAGGTAATCAACACATGGTATTTAACCCCAACCCCTAAGCTAGAAAAAATGTACCTAACACAAGAATCATCATGTTGGAGATGCGGTATGCCTAATACAAATTATTGTCATATTTGGTGGAGTTGTGCAATTATACAGAAATTCTGGGAGGAAATCAATAACTAACTAGGAAAACAAATCGTAACTAAACTACCACTTTCACCAGAGGCCTTTTTCACTTCAAGTTAAATGGCCACAGACAACCAAAAGTGATAAATGAATAATTACCCATATTTTAACTGCTGCCAAACTAGTTATAGCCAGACACTGAAAGAAAATTAGTGTACCAACCTGGGAAAAAAGTCAGTGTTCAATTCCTATATCAAGGGAAGATGGAATTTTTTTATAAATAAAAATTCACTGTCAACTTTATCAACTCAAAAAATATGGGGGAAAAATATTAGAGAAATGGAATGAAAACTTATATATGAAGTCTGGAAATCTACACAAGCAGAAATAAGAGACAAATCCTTGGATCTCACAAATATCCTTTTTTTTTCTAATGCATATTAGTTGAGTAGCTGTGCCAATTACCCATGCGTTAAACTTGAATGTTTTATGTTTTAGTGGTATTATATGTATTGAGTCTTAGCAGCTAAATGATGAGAGAAAACAAGGGATTAAAGTGCTAATACTCAAATGTACTATGTATAAATGTATATTGTATTGTCTTTTATAAGCAATCAAAAAAGAATAAATAAATAAATAAAAATGCATTGGCAATCTGATTTGTCATTTTTGTTAATTTTACTGATTTAATTTTATTGACTTCTGTTTCTATAGGAGATTGACTTTTTTGCCCCTTGCAAAACATAGCACTGAAATTTGTGTAAAACATCTTTTATTCTTTGTTAAATTTATTTCATAGCTTAACATCAGTTTTTCTAGCAATATTATAATTTGTGTCTCATGTTTGAATTTTATAGGAATATGGGGAGGATGAGATAACTATAGTAAACCCGTCTGAGTTTCCTGACAAGTCACAAGTATCTGAATATCTCGAGCCTGTTGTGTTGGGTACCATCATTTCACCTGATGACTATATGGGAAAGATACTTGCTTTATGCCAGGTTAGAAAACGTTGACTGAAATGTGCTAATTATTGAATCTTGATACTTCCTCTGAAAAGTAAAAACATTGTTTTGTCAAGATTTTGTTACTACTTTTCAGTTTCAGAAATTCTGGTTTAAGAATACGTATCAGTGACCATATTTCCTTAATTTTTACCAATTGATACTTTATCATTTGCAGTATGTCATTGCCAATGGCACCATTGTGACTTCTAGAGACAACACCCTCATTCTTGAGCAAATTACAGAATTTGGAGTTTCTACTTCTATGGGTAGCCTACAAATGCCATGTCATGCACATAGGAGAGGTCACCAGTTCATTGCTGTAGAGCTATCCCAAAATTCCAGACAAATCTCTGGACAAGAGAAATTATAAACCCTAGGCATACATTCAATTGCAGTTGTATCAAGTAACTGACAATGCTTCCCGGTAAATTCAGAAAGAACAACAAAGCATAGTAGCGGACATTGACAAATCAATACAAGTAAATAGACCTGTTTTCTAATAGATGTCATGTTCAATGCTTCCAAAACAGATGAGGATTCTAGAAAGAAACAATGAAATAAGGCTTGTCAATGGCCTTCTTTTATTTCTAACAGTGCCCCTAGCTACATTTCAAGCACTGCATGAAAGATTTGTCTGGGGAAAAACCAGCTGCGGACTTTGAACATTCTTACATTTAAGCATTTTGTAGCACAGTTGGATCTACCTCTTTTAAAATAACAACCTGAAGGTAAGGTTCTACAGTAGAAAGGAGAAGAGACTTTATGGCCCTCTTGGAATGTAAATTGTCGGAATACTTACTATGTTGAAGTATTGTTAAGTCCCATGTGGCTGTGCAGGGACACAGCCACGGAAAATATATGAATGGTCAAGTGATGACTTGAGTGCAAAACATATTCAACTTTTTAAGAGACTTTTTGTATGCCCACTTCTATATGCATTTATTACTCTTCACAATTTGTGATTTTTTTTTTATTTTTTTTTAAAGGCGATTTTTTTTTTTGAAGTCAGCTAGTGCTGAAATTATGATTGTTTATTAAATGCAACGTGTTTTGTTATCTTAGACACGACGAGCAGTTCAGAAAAGTATGGTGTACATTGATGAACACAGAATTATGCTGAAATATCTGTTTCCTTTAAACGAAATTGTGCTCGATTTTTATGATAGCCTAAAATCAATGTCATCTGGGTATGCAAGGTATGTTTGGCAACATTTAAAATATATTTCTGTCCTATTACTTCTTTAAATTGTGTTTGTTTTTGTTTGTTTCTAATTGCATTGTTTCTAAAATGCTTATACACAAAGGTCATATTGGACTCCTATATTGAGTTTCTGTCTTTATATCATTCACATGTACTGTACCTCTGTTTTCACACTATCTCCTACATAGAGCATATAGTGAATACGTATAGTTAGGCTGAGTCCTCAAAGTAAATCCTACATATAGCTTATACTGGGCACTTACTGATGCCGTGCTTCACACTAGCTCATATACAGAGATATCAGTCACATATATTGAGGCTGTGTTCTTACAGTAACTCATTCATAGGGGATGTAGTGGACACATATACTGAGGATGTGCTTCACACCAGCTCATTCAGAGAATCATACAGAAAGCATATGTTGATTTAGGTAAGCAAAAAGACCCAAACAGTAAATTTACCTTCCTCTCTATGAAAGAAGCCCGGTTATGTGCTAATGTATGCAGGTAACAGAAATCAATGCCTCATGCCATGATAGGAACAAATGTCTGCTTGGACTTAGAATCCGGCTTATAAACACAAGTTATATACAAGTGCTTCAATAACTTACCAGTGGAAGCTTTATCTTACCGTGGGAATTGGCCTTTTTTTCTTCAGGGCTATTCCCTGTCCTTTCTGCTGTGATGGGCAGAACTAACCCATAAGTAAATGCTGCCATGTTTGATTATGCAAGTGGGTTGGAATCATGTTTTTTTGTTTTTTCTTCCATTTTTAATCTCACCACAACTTTTAGAACTTGTTCTTTTACTTGTATTCCTTTACCCAATTTCTTTGAAAATTATAAGCACTTTTGAAAAGGGACCCACTTCACATTTGATGAGTGCTGCATAACTTGTTGGTGCTTTACAAAAATAATAACCATGTTTTTGTATGTATCTATCAAATACATTCTGCAGCAATATTTTCCAGGGGTTCAGTAGATACCTGATTTAATTAATGTGAACAATCACGAACATGTGGTTTGCATATTTTTGAAATGTATGTATATGTGTTTGTCGGTTAGCTTTGACTACGAAGATGCAGGCTATCAGACGGCGGACCTTGTAAAAATGGATATTTTACTAAATGGACGTTCTGTGGAAGAACTGGTCACTATCGCACACAGGTGATTTAAAATATTACATTTATCATATTTCTATGACTAAATTCATGATTTCAAATTTATATCTGGTTTAATGTGCATAACACGTGGCATCTTGTATATAAAACCCTCAGGGTTATTCATTAAAATTACAATTGAAGTGACTTTCAAATTTAAGGTCAAAATAGCAGGACAGGAAACATTGTCAACTTTAGTCAGCTATACTTCCAGTAAGGCTACTTTGGCCATAAATTGATATTTACTCTGAATTCTCACTTTAGCGAATAATCCTTTCCTTCTTTATGTCGGCTGGCCTGTTATTAGCATGGATTTATCTGTCACACTGCCTGTACATTTCAGTTGCCTATATATACTTTTTCCTATCACTTATATTCACCATGTTCCTTAAAGTGACACTATGGTCACTGGAACAACTACAGCTTAACGCCTTTGTCCTTGTGAGTATAATCATTCCTTTCAATACTTTTGCTGTAAACACTGTCTTTTCAGAGAAAATGCAGTGTTTTCATTACAGCCTAGTAATAAGTCCATTGGCCACGCCTCAGATGGCTGCTAGAGGTGTTTCCTGGGGCAGTGCTGCAGTGAGCAGCACTGCCATTCAGTGTCTCCACCCTCTGCAGGCAAACACTGAACTTTCCTCATAGAGATGCATTGATTCAATCCATCTCTATGAGGAGATGCTGATTGGCCAATGCTGTGTTTGACTTGTGTTGGCTCTGCCCCTGATCTGCCTCCTTGACAGTCTCAGCCAATCCTATAGGGAAGCATTGTGATTGGCTCAGACCACCACTTCTGATGATGTCAGCAGATAGAGGCAGTTCACAGGCAAACAGTGGTAGAGCCAGGAGCTGCAGACTTGATACATTTTACTATATTAATGGAGGCAAGAGGGGGCTAGGTGGTGGTTTTAAAACTATAGGGTGCTCTCCTTCTCCTCTTTGATGTATGCTTGCATGTAAACTGTGTTAAATTAATCAGTTGAATGCACGCCTCTTGAGCATCATGGACGCAGCCTGGCAATCTTAATTTAAGAACACTGGTCTGATTATAAACACTCACCCATGTAATAATGTTTTTGTTTCCTATTCACTTGTGCAGCCCTGGTTGGCATGCCACCCCAACCAACACAAATGCTGGTATTAAACGTCTGTTTGATCATACTCATCCCTGTCCTGCTTTTATACCTCCTAATATTGAGTTTAAAGGGACACTATAGGTATCCAGACCACTTTACCTCAATGAAGTGATCTGGGTGCAGTGTCCCTGTCCCCTTAATCCTGCAGCTGAAAACATTACAGTTTTAGAGAAATATTTACATTGCTGGTTTAAGACTGCCTATAGTGGCTGTCTACCAAATGCGCTCTTTTTTTTTTTTTTTTAACTCCGTGAAACAATGCTCGACGTCCTCACACTTTGCATGAGCACGTCCAGCGTCTTGCAAATCCTTATAGGAAATCATCAAGTGCTGAGGGACCTCTGACTGGAATCAGGTAAGTTTTTAAAGGGTTTTTAACCCTTTGATTGTTGGGAGCAGGGAGGGGGAGACAGGATCAGAGGGAAACTGTAGTACGGTATCTATGTATGTAAAGGCAGCAGTAGCATTTTTGTGTGAATGTGTTAATTTATGAACTCTATAAACCTTCTACTACCCCAAGCACAGTGCGATTGAGAGATGCCCGGAGCAGGCTTTTCTTGATTTTCCTGTCACTCAGTGACAGCATTAGACCCTTTTGCCGCTGGCACACATGTTTAATTACATTAATTGATTAACAAGTGGGGGGAGGGGGGACCTGTCAAGATTTTTTTTATTAAAATCTACACTTTTGCTAGAATTTCAGCTGTCTGTATAGGTGGCATTTAAACACTTTAAAATGAACATGTGTGCCACGACAAGTATAATTTAATAAAAATAGGTTGAACATTAGCATGTATTAAAGTTAATTATTATTTGGTATTTATTTAGCTAAAGCAAATTCTGCAGAGCTGTATAATACAGACAAACAATGAACTCCTACTGAAAGTAAAAAACAGATCCTGTCTGTGAGCTTACAGTCTAACAAATACAGTACTTCTATCCAAATTGCTAAGCAGGATAACTTGCGAGCTTACAATCTAAAGCAGGAGATTTATCAAGACAAAAACAGGTTCTATTCTGGGACAAACAGCTAAGTTAGAAGTAATCGCCATGGAAGTTTAAAAGAATGCCATCCAATGCAGTTTTTGAACAATGAAATCTAAATTTCATTCATGGTGAGATCTGATATATGTAGATTGGTATTTTTATTTTTCATAATATTGAGACAGTGTAATGTTCCCTCTCTTACATTTAGAGAAAAAGCATATGCAGTTGGCAAAGCAATTTGTGAACGGCTCAGAGATTCCATACCCAGACAACTGTTTGAAATAGCAGTTCAGGCTGCTCTTGGCAGTAAAGTCATTGCAAGAGAAACGTAAGTATAATACAAGAGCTTGATTTTTTTTGTTAGCTTTTTTTTTTTTTTATATTTGTAGATTTATGTGTATTTTTTTTTTTTTTTCAGGATAAAAGCCTACAGGAAAAATGTACTGGCTAAATGCGTATGTACAACTTTCATTACCTTTATAGATTTTATATTGTTCAAGTGTAGCAATTTTCTCAGTTTCTGATTTTAATTTATGGGATGGTGGGGGGAGAGGGTCAGGGTAGAGTGTTGATGAAATGATTTTACACAATTTACCCTTGCACAATTTAAAACGTGTGGCGAACATACATTTTGGCTGCAAAGCATGTAGACATCTACAGATCTTTTTTTTTTTTTTTTTTAAACAATTACTTTTTCGAGCAGAATATGAAAAATAAATAGGTTCGTATTCAGAACCATAATTAGGGATGTATTCACTAAATAGCTGTCGGCTAGCATTTGTTGTCTGCTTCCAGCATGAATATAATATCCTAGATTTAGCAGGTTGGTTGGCAAGACAACGTCACTGTAAAGCAACTTAAGCTCACTCAACTATGCATTTAGATTGGGCTTAAAATTGTAGTTCATACATAGCATTAACAAAGAATGTGCTTGAGCTATTATGCTGTAATAGCCTTTATCTTGTTTTGTTTCTTAATGTCTTTTTATTTTAAAATATATATTATCATGGTTGGATTATAGGCCGCATTGATCAATTTGGATAGTTTTCATGGTTTGTAAAGCTGTGATTATAGGCATCAAGTTTTATAATGAATCAATTTGGAAACGATTAGGCCTATAAACTAGACAAAATGGTACACAATACTTTGTTTAGTGATCCAAGTCTGATCCCAGTTTTCTCTTGGCAGTATGGAGGCGATATTACACGAAAAATGAAATTGTTGAAGAGACAGGCTGAAGGCAAGAAAAAAATGAGACAAATCGGCAATATTGAAGTGCCAAAAGATGCATTTATTAATGTGCTAAAAAGAACGCCAGACAAATGAAATGGAATTAACTAAACATTTTTATTGCAAACTACTGGGTCAATTTTATTAGACCAGTAGTTTCTTATTTGCCGTCCATGATGGCATTAATTTATCCACAAAGTCAACCAGACTGTTGCAAACATTTGTCCAACAACCATTTTCCCGTGTTGGTAAAGGAAACCTAATATTGGCAATAAAGTAAATCATGATAAGAGGGCACTACCTCGCTCAGCACACCATTTTATGTTACAAACAATGCTGTGTAGATATGAAACACTGCAATTAGACATCCCAGCAATATACAGGGGAGAGTTTCTAAACATCATGCATATTGTTAAAACTATGGGACAGTGATGTCTATCCCTATATTTCATGGGAAGTAGGTAGCAGGTTAAATTGCTAAGCCAACCTATCTTTGTTTTTGTTTAATTTAAACAACTGTTTTGGTGACAATACCAGTGTGTTAAAGATAGGCAAGAAAAGAAATGGAAAAATACAAATGGAAATACACACTAATTTAATGGTATATACCATGATCCGTCGGCACAGAATGTGTGCGCAATAGTGATAACCTTTTCTTTGATACAAATAAAATTGTTATTCTACAATGTTTTACATGGTTGTATTTTTGGGAGGGTCACGATAGAAAGTGAGTCTTTATGGTTTTTCTATAATTTAGATCAGCACCTACTAAATCTGGATAGTTTTACATAATAGACAGTGTGCCTTTTCTCAACACAATTACCTCTGTAATTCATTGGTATGTTAATGCTCTCAAATTGTTGCTGAGAGGCAAAAAAAAAAAAAAAACACTAGTTACCAAAACAGCTTTAGCTAAATGAAGTAGTTTTAGTGTATAGCTTATGCTTCTGAAGTTTCACTGCTCAATTCACTGCCATTTAGGAGATAAATCACTTGTTTCTGTTCATGCAGCCCTAGCCACACCTCCCCTAGCTGTGACTGACAGCCTGCATGAAAACAAAATAGTTCCATTTTAAATCAGAGGTTCACTTAATCAAGATGTTTTATCTCCTGCTGTGTAAATTGAACTTTAATTACATACATACAGGATGCACCTAGAGGGTCTAGGAAGCTATTAACAGAGCAGTAGATAAGAAATTCTAAATTAGACTGTGCAATAAAGGAAGTGTAAATGTTAGATGACTCTGTACAGGAAGGATGTGTAAATCAAATGCAAGGAGGTATGACCAGGGTTGTATAACAAAGTGATCTAACTCCTAAATGACAGAGCATTAAACAGGGAGACTGTAGGGGCATGATCTATACACCTTTAACATAATTAAGCAGTTTAATGACTAATTTACAACCAGTTGTGCTACTTGGTACATGTATTTTACTAAAGCCCAAGCTTAGCTTGGATCTTCTGGGAATTCTATTAACAGCTGTGGAGAGCCAACCATACCAGAATCCCATAGATGGGCTAATTATATCGCATCAGCCACCGTTATCTAGGTGTCATTGCTCTGCCTTTTTAGCTTTATATAGTATCGCCCAACCACTGTAACAGTGCCTCCTCTTTTCATAACACATCTTCCTGATTGCAAGCACTCTGCTTAGCCAATAAAATCAGCTTGACCTGAGATGCTGCCATGGACTGCTCCACAGTCAATAAATATCCTTATCAGTCTCCTTTTCCTGGTAGATGGGCATTGAAATACTAAAAAATACTTTTAGTAAAGACAATCAGTCCAGTCAGTTTATTGTAAATCAAGGCATTTGCGATTCATAAGAAATTATTTCTACATTTAAATGCTTCAAAATACAAATAAAAAAAATGAAATATGGTAAGAGCTGCATATGAAGACTCAATATTACAGGCATTGTGCAATATGTCCATATAATTTAAATGTCATTGTTGCAGTAGTACACATTCAGAAACCATAACACAAAAACAATAATGATACTATACATTGACCATTGTTCAAAGTAAATAGATAGACTGGTAGAAGTGAACATATTAGTCTACTGTAAAGTGGTAGGTAACTGGTGTTCAACTCCTCCTAATGAGAATGCGTTTTTTAAATTCAATGTGTAATAATTAATCTGTTGTAAGCAACAGATGCTGTTATTGATATAAAGCTTTGAAGGGAAGTACACCAAGATAACTAAATAAAAATAATGTGGAATGTTGAATTGACCAGTGCAGATTTTGTAATTCAGTAATATTGCATAGCTAATGTGGAGCTATGTTTTCCAAAGCATTTTCACTTCAATTTTTCTTCATGCTGTGCAGTGGGTCCACAAGTTTATTATGTACATGCATTAAGCCTTTGGAAAGAACAGAAACAGTCATTTCTACTATAGGCACATAGTACTTATAAGTACTTAAACATTCCATATAACACTTTCATTCAGAACATCCAAAATGTAATTTTTAGCTAAAAGTGGGGATAGTGACAAGGTTAATTTTGACAGATGTTGCTTTGTATAAAAATAATGCTTAACACAATAACAAAATATATATCCACAGCAGATTATCACATACTCATTGTCTCTGACTTTCTGCATTGGCTATTTTACCAGGAGCAATGCAAAATCTGTTTTTGGCAGAAAATCACCTAATAAAGTTAAAGGGACCCAATAGACTCCAGCTTATTGTATTTGTTCTGGTGAGTATAATCCGTACCTGCATGCATTTTAATGCAAACACTGCCTTTTCAGAGAAAAAGCAGTGTTTACATTGCCCCCTAGGGACACCTCTAGTTGCCACTCATCTGATGGTCACTGCTGCACAGTCTGCAGCTCTGTCACTGAATGATCCTCATAGATAGGTGGGGGGCCAGGGCCAGCAGACCCACACAGCCTTGGAAATAAAGTAAGTTGTATTGCCTTTTAAGGAGGTTAACAGGAGACAAGCCACCTAAATGGTGGTTTTCAGACTATAGGATCAGTAACACAAACATGTATTCCTGACCGTATAGTGTTTAAAGCACCATTATAGTATTCCTTTAACATGCATTTTTAATCAGATAATCAATCTGAACTGGTTGAGTTTACAGTACATACACAAACCACATATATCCCCAGTGCAGGTGAAATATACTAGCCGTGTATACTCTACCTAGTATAGATAATGGATAACCATTGGATTATCCAGACAGGTGCACTATTTACCTACCAAGGGCTAACAAAAGGTACTATTAACTTGCTGCCTTATACGGACAGAACTAGGTTTTAACCTCTAGTTAATCCCTTTTTTAACACTAATACTATAGTTTAACCCCTTGTCTACCTTGGTACACTGGTTTATTTTCCAGTGCACTACTTACCTACATAGGGTTATGAAAAGTGCTACAAATAAGCCTAATTAATAAAGCTTGTATATTTATATTTTAAGCATCTGTCTGGATAATCCAATGGTGTTTTTTTTTTTTTTTTTTTATATATAAACAGCAGTTTCAGAGAAACTGCTATGTTTGTTAGGGTTAATCCAGCCTCTAGCGGCTGTCTCTTGACAGCCGCTAGAGGCGCTTGCGTGCTTTTCACTGTAATTTCACAGTGAGAAGATGCCAGCGTCCATAGGAAAGCATTGTAAATGTCAGCAAGCTGTTACTTACCTTTGTAGCAGCTCCGGTCAGCTCTCTTCACCTCAGTTTCCTTCCGCTCATGGTGTCTCGCGCGGAGACGGCCGCGGGTCTTGCGAGACTTACACTGTGAGCAGAAGGAAACGGACATGAAGGGAGCTGACCAGAGCTGCTACAAAAGGTAAGTAACAGCTTGCTGCCGGCCCCCAACAGGACCGCCAGGCTGGTAATGAGCCCGGCGGTCCTGGTCTGTATTATGGCAATGTAAGTTGCCATAATACAGACACTGACTCAAGTATAAGTAGAGGGGGGCTTTTTCAGCACAAATAAAAGTGCCGAAAAACTCTGCTTATACTCGAGTATATACGGTACATTTTTCCAGCTTTTACCTCATCCACTTTATTGTGGATTATGTGAATCTTTTCTGTGTTATTATTAGGGTTAATAATAATAACACTACTACTGGAGTGTCTACACCGGTGTATAGATCCCAAGAAGTAAACTCTTAAGTATCTTATTCTTTTTATTAGCTGTAAATTATTTAACTCTGAATGCCTTTGTTAGTATGCTATTGTGTAAAATATGCAGCACTCTAGAAGATATTTTAGCCCCGTACTCTATACAAATTCATACAACTGTAATATTTTTACATAGGAACAAATGATAAGCTACTGTTACACGTGTAACATACTGGGAATAGTGATGGAGTCTCTTTGAAGAAAACAGAACATGTAGGTGCATGGAAATCCCCTTCAAAAGTGAAAAGTGCCTGCAAAGGAGCAAATTTTTGGTCTACTGCACATTTCTATGCTGGATATCTTAAGCAACCATTAGCATTCCAGATGTTAACTACATCTCATCTGATGCTTTGCCATGATTATGGGAGATGTAGTCCATATCATCTGGAGTACTGAAGGTTGCCTACCCGTGGTGTAGACTTACATAAATAATATCAGAATCTCAGTTAATCAGTTGAGATACAAATAACTAGTTACAAATACCCAAGCTCACCTTTAAAATATTTAACAGTTTTAACTCTTAATTCTAGAGTAGCATCTTCATCACAGACAAAAATGGTACGTGGATGTTGTTGAAATGCAGAAACCGTCCACATATGATTTACACCTTCTTCTATTGCCTTGTATAATGCAAATGCTTTATGTGCTCCAGTTATAAGGATCATCACCTGTTTGGGTCGGAAGAAAAATAAAAAATAAAATGCAATCTTAAAACTTGAAGAAAAAAAAAAATGGATGAAAAGATATTGTTGTATTGGTTTTATTTCAGTAAGAAAATATATTAACAGCAAGATGATTGGTACAATAAGCCTTCAATAACTTCTTTGAAAAGGTGCCCTAAGTAACAAAACATTGAAAATGTGCACTTTAAATTTCTGTGTTACCAGTGTGAATTTAGTCCGACTTGGATAGAAGTAACAAGCTGAGGGGTCTGGTTAGCCTAGTGGTCTCAGCCAATCACTGCCATCCAGAATGGACAAAAAATTGCCAGTTATAGTTAAGTGTAAATTATGTATTATCAATGCACCTGAGGTGGGGGTTGATTCTAGGTGTAGTAGTGAACCCTGTTTTTTTTTGTTTTTTGTTTGTTTTTTTTAATCAAGGCGCTCCCCAGCGGTTTGACAAAGAACCGGGGGTGACACCAACAGTGTTATTCAGTAAAGAGAGCATTTTCTGGAATTTAAAGTGAATACAATATAAATTTCACATTTAAGGCCAAAATAGATTAACTTGAAACCTTCTCCAAATCAACTTTGCTTCCAGTCTGGCTGTTCTGGTCTTAAATTTGAAATTTATGGGGGCGTGGCTGACTGCCGAGCAAGATGTCCGCTTAAAGATTTGCTTTGGCACCTGGGCTCCTACAAATTCAACAGAAACACGCAGAACCCACAAAAATCCTGCACCTCTCAACCATGTCTCAACATAAAAGCAAGAAACACACTTCTAGAGCAGACAAGTTACATTTCTTTGGCCAGAAACCATCCACCACATCGGAGGCTGCGAGGCCTGCGCTGCAAGATGGTGCCAACGACTTTTACACAAGCCAACCAGGAGCCCATCAGCCACTACTCAGGAGTCTATATCTCCAACCCCCAAGGTACGACATCGTACCTCGACCTTTAGAGATTTGTACATACATTTGTGTTAACCCTTTCTACCCAATCTCTCCCTTTCCTACCAGCAACCACCAGTTACTCACCCCACTCCCATACCTGTCACCTCAAACCCTCTTAACCCAACACTTCTTCAGACAAAGGTCCCAGTCTCCTCAGATATAAAGGAAGTAAGGCACGATTTTCAAACTCTGGCACATCAGTACAACCCCAGCACAGATGATATGAAAATCTACTCCCATAATACCAGAGGGCTAAATACTCCACATAAAAGGTGCATGCTCCTAGAAGACGCTAAAAGAAATGAGGCAGAAATTATATGTGCTCAAGAAATACACTTCGTAAACAGGGTCCCCACCTTTGGCTTGAAGGACTTTCCTATACAGTACCATGCAACACCCTCCTCCAAATCTAGAGGTGTATCTATACTTCTACACAAATCCCCAACTGTAGAATTACTTAGCATCAAAAAAAAGATAGCCAGGGCAGATTCCTGCTGCTCCACTGCATGATTAACAACGTGCAATATATTCTAGTGGATCTATACAGCCCAAATGAACAACAACGTAACTTCATACATAAAGTACTGTCAAAGTTACCAACATCATCAACCAACAGTGTGATAGTGTGTGGGGACTTCAATCACACCCTGAACTCCAACGGACACATCCCTACCAGACACGGTCACCAGACACACTACACTTAGAAACACAGGTAAAGCACTCACAAAACTGATCATGGAACATGGACTATATGACTCATGGATAATGATGAACCCAACAAGTAGAGAATACTCATACTATTCTGCAGTGCACAAGACATACTCCAGAATAAACCTCAACTTGGTCTCAGGAACCGTATTCCCACAGGTGACACAGCTCGATAGGAGACATAATACGGTCTGACCGCACTCCAACCTTACTAACCCTTAGATATCAATACCAACATAGAGGCAAGTCGCCCTGGCGTCTCAATGAATCGCACCTACACAACCCCATATTTGCACAAAATATACAAGAGCAATTGCAGAGGTACTTTACGAAAAATGACACCCAAGACGTATCTACACTATCCCTATGGCAAGCTCAGAAACCACTTATCAGAGGCATACTTATCAGTCGTGCCTCCTACTTAAAAAAGAAGTACCAACTGGAATATCTAGACCTCATACGGAAACTTAGAGACACGACGAACGCACACACAATACAACCTGACAAGCAACACGCTCAAACAATAACAGATACAACCAAACGACTCAATGAGCTATCCCTACAAAAATAACTGCTCACAAACTTACCAAATTAAAATTGAAAAACTACTCCCAAGGCAATAGAGCTGGTGTTCTCTCAAATTCCCCTACCCTCGTCACTCGTCTACTCCTCCACAGCAAGGTCCTGGAAGGTAAGTAAAACTAGTTTTACACTTTCATTATAGTTAGTGCATTCACTAAGCTTAGGCACACGGGACATTTAGGGTTAAGTGAGGGTTAAAAATAGGGTTAGGTAAGTTATTTTAACCTCTCTCACACTCTATTCTTACCCTAACCATTGGGGTAAGGGTTAAAATAGAGTGTGAGAAATCACTAAAGATATTCCCCTAATGTGAAATATCACAAAATATAAACAAGTCCCTAATCCTAACCCTAATTTGAACCCTAACATTAACCCTAAATGCCCCATGTTCTAAGCTTAGTGAATGCACTAACTATAATGAAAGTGTAAAACTGGTTTTACTTACCTTCCAGGACCTTGCTGTGGAGGAGTAGCCGGAGTGCTAGCATGCATGTGCAGCACAGGATCCAGCTGATTCCCCTCACTGGAAGAGACGAGGGTAGGGGATTTTCAAGAGTAGGGAAATTTGATAGAACACCGGGAAGACCTTGGTAACAAAATACACAACCCCCAGGACATCAACAACGAAATGGCAGCATACTACCATACACTTTATAACCTCACAGAAGACAATTCCCTACATCAACCCAACAACGTCGAGATCACGAACTTCTTAAACCCCACCACACTGCCAAAACTGACAGAGCAACAAATAACTGCGATAAAAGCCCCCATAACTATGCAGGAAATAATGGAGGCCATCCACTCCCTGCCCCCGGGCAAGTCCTCAGGGCCAGACGGCCTTACAAACGCATACTATAAACAGTTCGCAACCACTTTAGCCCCATACCTGGGCAGAATATTTAATCACATATTGGACACAGGATTAATGCCATTGGAGATGTTGATGGCACACATAGCCACTCTCCCTAAACTTAAAAACATAATACAGGAGTGAAAGGGGAAATTCCTTTCTTGGTCAGGCCAAATTGCGGCTGTCAAAATGACGATACTCCCAAAGACCCAATACATGTTCAGAACACTCCCAATCAAACTCCGCCCGACATCTTTTCCGGAACTGCAAAAAAGTCTCAACTTATTCAAATGCGACAACACTAAACCAAGAGTAGCTAGAACTACTATGTATAAACTATTCATACATGGAGGTATGGGAATGCCAGATATAGTGGGGTACAATAGGGTAGCCCAAATAGTCCCTCTCCTCATATTGTTTCAACACAACCAATCTTTAGCATGGGCGGACATAGAGCAAAAACCCCTATAACAACACAAGCTTGGCTACCCGAGGCACAACAGGCAAAATACAGACACACACTACCCACCACGACCCTCACACTCAAAATTTGGTACAACTATTGTAAAAAGATGGGTCTGACGGGGACGATTACACCAGCCATGCCAATAGCGACGTTGCCGTTCCTCATCCCTGACTTTAATCACAAAATATTGTACCGACACGGCATAACATTGCTATCGCAAATACTCCATGGCAACAATCTCATAAAATTTAAATATGTCCAGAAGGAACACAAAAATTGACGGATACAGCCGCTTCCCATACATGCAAATACAGTCTTGGATACCCAAACAAAAGATGATCCCAACAGACGACACAAAGGGACACCCACTGTCAGAAGTGGAAAAAAAAATGAGCATGAACCTTAAACCCCCTAAACTGATTTCAACAATATATGCCACAGAGTATACCACAACACACTACACTCACTCACCTTAAAAAAAAAACAAGGAAAAAATACATTACACATACTCTGACCGATGCACAATGGACAGACCTACTACACGCACATAGACCACTAACTAAATCAATATCCCACATAGAACTATCCCGCAAAATTTTATACCGGTGGTTCCTAGTCCCTACGCACCTCAAATGCAGCTTCCCAAACATACTTGACACATGCTGGAGGTGTAAATGGCGACATAATCCACATATGGTGGTTCCCCCCAACTGAGCAACACCTGGAAATATGTAGCACGCATGGCAACACAGTGTACAGAGGTCGACCTCCCCCTCTGACCAGAAACTACTGTTATTACCAAAAAACATACAAAAAAGACAAAAATACCTCCTCTACCACATAATAATTGCAGAATTAACAGTCATCAGCAGACACTGGGGAAAAAACACCCACTCCCCACAATACACCACTGCAAGGCAGCAGTGGAGAACAACAAAAGCTTTGCAATAATGTCAAGGAGCACACAACCACCAGCCAAATATTGGAAGGTGGCATGGGAAAACTGGGACTCAACTATACAACAAACTCAAAGAAATAACCCAGGTATACCCTACATCCTCTCCTCACCCCCACCATGACCTTGCACACTAAAATATACCAACAAGTAATATATCAAGAAACTGATTTTGTGCCTCGAAAAGTAGCAAAAAGCCGTAGGCACATAGACGGACATGTGTCCTTAACATGTGTCATCGCACAATGTAATTTAATTAAATGTTTTGGGAACACTACAACTGTGAACAATAGACCAATGCAGACATGATGTACTGGGATAAATAGAGGACATGTTGACAATGTTGCCTGGTGAACAATGTTAAGTTATGAACAATGTTATATTATGACAAATGTTACCTCTATGATTGTCATTGTGCTTAATACCCAACCCCTGCCTTCCCACCTCTCTTCTGTACCCAAAAAAAAAAAAAAAAGGTGAAATTGTCTTTGAATTCCTGGTAACTGTCACATTAATGAATATCCCTGACAAGAATGTATTGGCAACCTAACCACTACATTGGACTGCATAAATTGTCCCATTAACTTGAAAAAGGCCTTACAGACAGTATTGTGTGCATGGTCCTGCTATCTCTGCCTTTAACTTTAAAGACACACGTGCATAAGGTACAAATAAAAGGACTGTATGAATCGAACAATTTCACAGCAAAGCATTAATGATGCTGGACCTGAAATGGGGGCTGTCACAATTTGTTGTGTTTTTTTTCCCCTTCTTCAATATCTACTGGTGTGTAGGGATAGAAGAACTTTCACTATTGTACGACTACTGAGACCGACAGATCTTGTGAAAATTAATTCTTTTAATATTGAGACAAAATGGAAAAACACTCTTAAGTCAACCTGAAGTAAATGTATACATAGTTTTTCAAAGTTACACAGACATGCCTTGCATTGACAGCTAATTGCTGGACTTTCTAATCATTACATTAATCTTCAATCTACTATCTTACAAGAGTATGTGCACCCATGCACATCATTTGCTATGAACTTACCTCTCTGGCATCCATTACTGTACCAACACCAACAGTCAATGCCATTGTTGGAACTTTTGAAAGGTTTCCATCAAAATATTTAGCATTTGCTAAAATAGTGTCCATAGCCAAGGTCTTTAGCCTTGTCCTGGATACCAAACTTGAACCAGGTTCATTAAAGGCAATATGGCCATCTGGACCAATACCTACAAAAAAAAAAAAGAAACTACATCAGTTAAGCAAATACACACACTTGTTTTTTTTTCCCCTTTGCAAGACAAGCAAATGCGACATTTCTGTGTAAAAGGATTATAGAATAATTCTGTTACCACTGCCAGAGACAATATAAAGTTTTGTTTGTAGTTTAGTTCCAATATGTGTGAATGGATATGCAAGACATGCACAATGTGCAAGAATGGCCTAACCAAGGTGAGCATGCAGCAAATATACCCTGGCCAATACTCCAAAAGTATGAATAGGAGTGTATCAGACTGGTTCAATGTAACAATTGAATGCACGAGTGGCTATGTACAAGGAGGCCAAAAGCATATGTTCTGCAATAAAACACTCAAATGGACCGCATTGTTTTCTCTTGACTGTGTGGAGAGGAAAGAAAATGTACAGACATTCTACATATACTTCCCTAAATATCTCTTGTATAAATGCCATGTTTGTTTTTGGTCACTCTTCTACCAATACTGTTACACATGCACGTACAAATTCCTCAACAAGAGATCCAGCCCACTGAGAGGACATAGATATCATGGCATAACAAGATGCCTGTTAAAACCAGTTACAACAGCTGATGGAAAACATTGAAATGCGGCACAATAGTGTTCATGTGACCTTGTAGCTTACATTTCATTTAGATATTAGAATTAAGATGAAATAGAGAAGAAAAAAAAAATCTATATCAGTATTTTCTTTTTTCATAAAGTTATAATTTTTGGAAAATCTCAGAAGACTGACATTTTATGCAAGTTTTTTTTCTTTTAAAAAAAAAAAAAATCATTCATCAAAATGCGACCTTTGATCATGAGAATATATACACTTTTTTTTGCGGTTTTTATTTTCTCTGTATAGCCCTGCAAAAACAAGCAACCATGGCATACAATACCTCCAACAAACAGTTCAATTCCACCTGCTTCTTCAATTTTTCTCTCAAATTCATCACATTCCACCTGTAGATCCGTAGCATTCCCATCGAGGATATGAGCATTATTAGGGTCAATATCAATGTGTTTGAAGAAATTATTCCACATGTATGAGTGGTAGCTTTCGGGGTGATCTCTGGGAAGCCCTAAAATGTAATGAAACAAATTGGCTTTGTCAATACGATAACAAAAGTTGCCAATTCACCATCTTCATCTAGCAACGAACAGGCATTATCAATAGCAGTTGAAATTTAAAACTCACAATGATCTGGTTTTTTTTTTTTTAACCACTCCTAAGATGGAAATGTACTCTATTGTGCTATGAAATGTTAATAGACCTTCTTTGTGTCTATCCATTATTGCTTGTGTATGACTGCTCCTACAGAACAAGGTTAAGCAAGGTAATGCAGCAGCTTAAAGAGTTACTTACAAATATAGGAGAACCGTCACTTCCCAGAACTTATAATATAACATTTACTTATTCCTTATATTTAATAAATTCGTGTTTGGGAAATAAGAACTATCCTGCAACTAGAAGACTCCACCTTGGATCCCTGTCAATCACTGTTACACACACTGTCCTTTGCACCGGTCAGCCAGCATTGAGAGAGAGAGTATAAAGAGAAGAAGAAGAATTCCAGAAACTATGGGGGATAATTTATCAAAGGTTCTTTTCTAGAAAGTGGTGCAATAATGTAAAAGGGAAGGCGTCACCAATGGAATGTGCCTGCTGTTTCCAGTGGTTTTCATGTTAATTACCCTGCTACACTAGACTACTTTAATAATCTCCAACATTAATTTTGCCTCTTCATGTGAAATGTGTGCCCAAGCTGTGCCTAGACTGAACTGTATGTTGTATGAGAGTTGTGCACAGCTACGCCAAACCTTTTTTACAAAAGCAGGAAATTTTACTACACACTCTATTTTCGGACAAATGTCAGTACAAAAAAAAAGAAACTGAACCCAATCAGGCCAGCCAAAAGGGCACGGAAATGGGCCAGTGTAATGCAAAATATATACATAACACTGACAGTCCGTTGAGAGTCTGGGTTGTCTTGTCTGTTCAGAATTTCTGAACTTTTCTGTTTGTTCTTGTATCCATAAGATCTGCTGAAGGGTACTGAATCTTGCTGTAATTTCCCTGAATCTATATTTGCTTAAGTGCCATTCGGTTTGTTTCCATTGGGATCTGCTTAGATTGTCCACAATGGTGTCTATTTCTCGGATGTATGTTGCAGACATGTCCCTTAAATTCTTTTCTGCCCATTCCATAATTAAAGCACAGTGTACTGACAAGTTCCTTAAGCTCATGCCTCCTTGTTTGTTTACATATGTTACCATGGTGAGATGTCCAATTGAATTCTTACTGAGGAACCTCTGATGTACTACTGAAAGGTTAGTAAAGCTTCCCATATTGCCTTCATTTCTCTAAAATTGAAAGATTGGTTTGAGTCTAGGTGATTCCATAAACCTTGATACGTGAAGGTATCTATGTGAGCACCCCATCCAGTGACAGAGGCATCTGTAGTAGTCATTTCCAGTGTTTGTCTGAATAGCAGATCTTGAAAAATAAATTTTAACTGGGTCCACTAGTCTAATGATTTTAAGACTCTCCAGAATACTGATAATTTTATCCAAATCTTTCTGTCCTTTGTTCACACTCTGTAGAATTTCCAACTATAGAGGCCTTATTCTTTATCTGACCCATTTTACTGCTGGAATTGAAGCTGTACATTTTCCCAGAATACTCATCACATTTTGGATAGTACATTCTGGATTTCTCTGTAGACCTGAAATTAAATTTTTTTATGTTCATATTTTTTTATTTTTTTTATGAGGAAGATGGGGGCAAAGATATGAAGAATCCACTTCTAAAAAAAATAAATAAAATAATAATAATAATCTTTGTGGATGGAGTGAGTTTCGATTTTTTTCCAATTGAATATCCATCCAAGTTACTGAAGAGCTTGAAGAGTAATAGATGTTTCGCATTAGAAGTTTTCGACTCTGATTTGAGAAAGCAATTGTCTCGGTATAGGAGCACAGCTATACCTTTTTTATGCAGTTAAGTGCCCTGAAGAGCTAGAGTGACCGTGTAATCTCCCTTCTGCACAATGTGTGTAACAGATTGTATGGAAACCATCTTGAACCTCTAGTATTGGATGCATTTGTATCATTTTTTTAAATCTAGTACAAGTCAGAAGGTCTTTTTGGGTTTCTTGACAAGGGAGGGTCTGGAAAATATGCCCTGAAAAATGAGTCTGCAACATATTTTGTCTCTTATCTATAGGGTCTCTAAGACCCGTAAATTTGCCAATCGGTTGTGTAGTCTTCAGTAGAGCAACTGGCACATCTACCTTCAGCAGATCTTCATATTTCTGGCGCTTAAAAAGAAGTTGAAATTGCTTAGGAATGAAAGCCCCTTTCTCAGGATCTTTCACTCCCTTTGCACCAGGCATTAGAATTTAGGGTGTCTATCGCTGGCATTCATCACCTGTGTAACCTCCTTAAATTATTTATTTCATCCTCTGGAAACCCTGGATTGGATTCCAAATTCTTGCTTGAAAATGAAGCCTCAGCATTGTGAGAGCATTCTCCTGTGGATAATTTGGAAGGATATAGGAACCTATCCATTTTCTTTCCAGCATACCTGTGTAGTCTGAGGTCTTAGCAGTAGTTTCTCTAAAACTTTCAAAGGTCTGCAACAAATTCTCCTGAAACCAATTAACGAATGAATGCAACTCTTTTTGTTTGGATTTTTCTAGAGCTTCAGACGAGCAATGGTTATACAGCTTCTTTTTGCATCCATCCAGTAATGGATTGGCACATTCAGCATAGGTCAGAGGTTTAGACTTGTATGTAGCCTTGAGCCTGGTAGCAGGTGGAGGTGAAACCTTATCCATGTTGTCCTTATCACATAAGACAGGACTAGACATCTGAGAGATAAACTAAAAATGAAAGATAAAATATTCAGAAAACCCATGGAAGCTTTCTAAAGCTAAAGAGAAAAAAAAAAAAAACAAAAAAAAAAAACTTTGGGGGGCTGGTGACACGGCAAATCGAAATTGATAAGCACCCTTGCTATCAAAGAGGTTTTCAGTTTTTTTAGTTTGTTACCAAAACGTTGTATTCCTAACACGCATGCACACTAGCACACTCAGAATGCAAACTGCATCTGGGCATGCATTCCATGGCTGTGCACAAACTCCTACGTCTGCAGAGGATAGGAGGGACTCCTGAACCACCTCCAGAGATCCGGGTGCACCTACAGCGTGTATATCTATAACAAGATGCCACCACAGATGTCCTGTAACCAATATTGAAGACAAAACGACAGCTGCTCAGCTCTCCACACAGGGAGCTACCTGGTCTTAGGCAGCCCCCTAAATAGAATCCCCTCCCTATTACACCATACTGTTGACTAAATTGTTGCTTTTTTGGGGGGGGTTTATATTCAGGGGCTACTTGTCCAGCAATATTCAGAACATCCCACGTGTACTGCCGCTACAGAACAGGAAAAAATATTTAATAAATTTTTTTTTTTAAATTGTTCCTCCTCCTTTTTGGCCATTGGTGGAATTCAAAATAACCAAAACAGACATGCTCGACCATTGCGTGTTTTGGTTGGTTTGTGATTCAGGTACATTTCAGCTCAGAGTTGAACTGAACATTTAATTTTCCCAAATTTAGATGAATCTCAGTTTGTACCGAAACAAAATTTCCAAATCTAGATGTCCTTTTCTAAAATATTTAGTATATATGTAAAAGAACAAAAAAAATCATATGAAAAAAATGATAACAGCATTTATATGTAGTGATGTCCCGAACGGTTCGCCGAACGGTTCGGGACATCACTATTTATATGTTATTTGTATATGGTGTAATTGAAACCAGATAATGCAAATGCATAATTGCAAAATAATAAAGATGCCATATAATAAGTAATCTTTTCTTTTAAATAATACAAAACACAGTCATATATATTGATCATCAGTGTGCATCCCCCTTTGTATTTATATCAATATACCTTACCTACATATTCATCCATATTAAAGGTCTTTACATATTTAAAGGAGAGGTCACCATTTTTGTGATATTCTATCAGCTTTTTGTAACAACCTAATGGTGTGCTTCCTGAAAAGAGAGAAAGATATGAAGAAATATTACTTTGACAAATTATACCACACATAAATCTCGTATATTTCTCTATTCACATCTGAAAATAGTGTATAGATATAAACTTAAACAAAGCATTACCTGTGGGTAAGCCCAATGTAAAGTATTTATCCGGTCCAGGATTAAACTGAATGATACGATTACAAATGTACTTTGCAGCCCACTCACTAGCCAGAGCATAATCATCGAGGATAACTAGTCTCATTTTTCTATTGAGAAATTCAGGCTGGACAGCATATATGTTTTAGGATCTGAAAAGAAAAGGAAAAAAAAAAAAAAGTCAACTTGTTAGAAAACAAATACTGTATATAGGAATTTGCAATGTGTTCACAACTTTATTTTGCATACACAAGTGTACACTGAACTCTTTAAATCAGCTTCAAAGTCAATGAAATAAAAAAAAAAATTAAAATAGGATATTTAAAATAAATGGCGATTGAGTTAGAATGTATAATCATATATTGCATAAGCATACATCAAACTTTTTTTCCCCATTTTTTTGCAAAATTGGAAGCACTTCATACTGTTATTTGCCTTTTTTTTGGATCAACAGCAAACACAAATGTAGGAAAGGCTGAACTTGATGGACGCAAGTCTCTTTTCAGCCCACGTAACATACCTCCAAACAGAGGATAATATGAAAGTTCCAGCTCCACTCAATGCGTTGCACAGGCTAAAATTTCCTGGGTGCGGTTTGTATCTCACGTTTAATGATACTCTTGCACTGTATTTACCGGGGACACTTCTTTGGTGTCCCCAGATACAGGACAGCAGGCAACAAACCTTAAATTTTGTCAGATAGGAGCTTCAAATTTAGGATTGTCTTGATGTATGCCCTTAGAGAGATACAAAAATATACAAATTTATAATTTAAAAATTCAGGGAAGATATTTTGCCACAAAAGTGGACCCGAGAACCAAACCACATGAGAAGTGTGTGAGTATATGTACACACACACACACAACTTGCAGTCTAACAAATTCACAGGGTTTAAAATTAGAACAGTCAATCTACATGGGATTCCATAAAAGAATGAATTGAAAGTTAATCAGACAGACATACAATGAATGGGAAAAACAATGTAACTTGCCTTTATCACAAAGAGGTTCATTCATGCCTTAGCATAATCATGGCATATATATTTTAATTCAAATTCTAACACTTATTTAACTTTCCTCTTAAAAAAATAATTGATTGACCCAAGGCTGTGCATGGGGTCTGGGCTGCTCTGCAAATAATAGCAAGTTTAAATCAAGCCCTGGGTTTGACTCACACTATATTAAAGTGGAAACTTTCTACAAGAGACCCATAAACCAAATACAAACTGATACATGCACTGATACACTCACAATGGAAGGGGTGAAGCCTGTCACCCTGCAACTTATTCAGCTGATGCTGCAGCTACAACCACCCAGAGCAGCCACTTCCAGCAAATCACGTGACACATGTCACAAGCCACGCTACTTGTCAGAATTCCGAGTCACTCACAGCAGTGCCCTCCTCATGACGCTGCTACGTCGAACACGCAGCAGCCATCTTTTTGTCTGGCGTAAGTCCCGTTACAAAGAGGCGCATGTCTTTTTTTCCGAGTGACAGTGCTAAACACAGCACACTCACGTTGGCCAATGAGTGCCACCTTGCGGTGAAATTAGAGAACGATACTTAAAAAAAAATTATTATTTTTTTTTTGTTAAAATTCTTTGCTCCCAAAAAGTTTGGTTTGCAGACTAAGTGTTTAGCTGTTTGAAGTTAGCACAATAAATATTGACAAACGTCTCCCTAGGCATGTTTTTTTCTTTTTTTTTTGTTTAGCTGACTGCAGGTAATACTTCCTTTTCTGTGCACAAACATAAAGCACACAGAAACATGGACTTTGTGTTTGACTTGGTTTTTTTTAAGAACCTGTGGCACAAACTTAAACACTAAGGAACACTATAGGCACCTCATTGCAGTGCTCCTGTCCCCTTCGTCCTGCAATGTAAATCATTGCAGTTATAGAGAAACTGCTACGTTTATATTGATGGGTTAATATTACCTATAGACGCTGTCTTCTAGACAGCCACTAGAGGTGCTCCTTGCATTTACACAGAGTTAACACCCATGAAACGACACTAGATGTCTTCATACGTCCTTAATATACACCAAAAACGGCTTAAACGTACCTTTTTTTGCAAGTTATCCCTTAGCCCTATCTTCCTCTACTGACATCACTCTTCCTCACCCGAAGGAGAGGACAAGCTCAGTCTACCACTAAGGGCACTAAGGGGGTGTGGACATGCCACCATTGTCTGTCAGGCGCCAGTATGCTGTGCAAGCAGGTATCAGATGCCAATTTTGCACAGAATTGACATGAGCCAGCTCAGAACATTTTTCTGGGCTGGCTAATGAACCAACCTCAGGTGGAGTTAATCTGTGTATATACAGATGTTAATAGCGAAACCCTGCACATACAGACTCTAGTCACCATGACCACTTAAAATCAGTGAAGTGGTCATGGTGCTTAGAGTAATCCTTTAAAAAAAACTTCTCACAATGCATAGCAACAATCCACGTTTACTGAAATGAGCAAAAATCATGCAATTTTAATTAAAAAGTCACATCCAAACACAAATGATTAATTTGGAAGACTTTCTGTTAAAAATCAGAAAAGCTGTTTAGAGCTGAATTTTGTTGAAAACAGGTTGAAGATATAAATCTTAATAATTGGAAACAGGCAGGAATTGTACGGCTGGCTCAGCTATTGGTAGAGGGAACAATTAAAACCTTTGTTCAATTAATACAGGAGTATAGCCTGCCATCAAAGTAGAACTAAACACAGACATAGATATCAAGCATTGGGGTTCTTCACTGGTGGAAGTTTCAAAGACTATACATTCACTAAATCTACTAGAAACCCACTTCAAGGTTTTAAATAGATGGTACTTAGTACCAGATAAATTGAACAAAATGTACCTCACAATAAATCACCTATGTTGGAGATGCGGGTTAGCTACAGCTACTTTTAAGCATATATGGTGGGAGTGCCACAAATTGAACAACTTGTGGTCTAAAATCCAAAGGTTTATATCTGCAGATCTGAACCTTGGTTTGAGGCTCTCCCCAGAGGTCGTCCTGCTTCATTTAAACTGGCTGGCAATGGCGTATGAGTTGAAAATTATTCTTACTCATCTCTTCTCAGCTGCCAAAATTGTGATTGCGAGAAGTTGGAAAAATGATATGGACGTCCCTTGCGATCAAGTTAGAGCCCAGCTTAAGTTCCAGATCAAAATGGAATTAATGTTGAATAAACAAAACTTAAGTAAAAAAGTAACTGTTTGGATGAAGTGTTGGGAGCACATAAATAAATAGAGCTTCCAGTAAATAAAGTGTCTGTCAAAACTAATTTCTTTATAAATTTAAAGTGAAACATTGCAAGAACATTTATACTTTGGATAATACAAGATACATAGTCTTGCTCGACCTGCATCTTCTCCTCCCACCCGACAAACAGATTTAGCTTCTTTTTTTTTTTTTTTTTTGTCCTTCTCCCCTGTTGCATCGTCTTGTATTTGTAGATAAGTTAAAGGACCACTATAGGCACCCAGACCACTTCAGCTTAATGAAGTGGTCTGGGTGCCAGGTCCAGCTAGGGTTAGCCCTTTTTTTATATAAACATAGCAGTTTCAGAGAAGAGGAGGAGGAGAGCTCCTCGCCCTGCACTGGAAAAAGAGGTAAGTTTAAGCCCTTCCTCTCTATCCAGCCCAGTGGGAGGGGGACCCTGAGGGTGGGGGCACCCTCAGGGCACTATAGTGCCAGGAAAACGAGTATGTTTTCCTGGCACTATAGTGGTCCTTTAAATGTATTGTGTTGTTTTTGGTTAGTGAAATGTGTAAGGGAAATTTTACAATGCTATATTCCTCAAATTGAAGAAATGTTTCCTACCATTAGTATGTAAATCATGTTCTGTATTGTCTCTTATCGAAAATTCTTTTCAAATAAAGATCATTTAAGAAAAAAAAAAGAAAAAAAATCAGAAAAACTTTATGTTGACTAATTTTTGTTATAGTTTAATTAATTTTCCTCATCTCAGTAAAGGATTATTGTTGCTATGTATTATGAGACACATTGTTTCTAACTATTGTGTCCTGCTTTCGCTGGGACAGTTCCATGTTTTGAGCTCCTTGTCACGCATCTACATAGTCCTGGGACCTGTCCCACATTCTGAAATCTGCCAAGCATTTTAGTTTTTGTTCTTAACTATAAATTACAAGATATCAAAAACTAAAATGCCATTTTAAAAAGGCACAGTCAGGTCACCTATGAAGCGGTTAAATGGCTGTATAGCTGCATGGTCATGTTATCATAAAGGGAGATCTTCATATCTTCTTTTACTGGTCTGGACAATACCCTGGTGCACAGTGCATGCTCTTTGCAAGACACCTAAAGACTGACACAACTGATAACATTAATGGTGTATTCAATAAACTGTATGCGATGAGACTTCATTTCCCTTCATTTTGTAATTCTGATCTTAAGATTAGGGAGAAATTTGACCTTTCACAAATGTTTTGGGGAGTGACAAAGCCATATTCATTTTTATTGGAGAGATGGGATTGTGAACAGACATACTTGGAGGGGGTATGGAATCCATTGTATTGAGGAAAGATTTGCCCTTTCACAAACACTTTGGGGAGATATGAGACTGGGAGATGGATTGGTGCTAGATTCATGAGTGTTTTGGAGAAGATAAATGGAGCTTCTGCTGTGAAATCCATTGCTGAGTGTGGTAAACCTTCTATTAAACCTGCATACTTCACTGTCTGCTATGAAGTGGCCCTGGATTTTTTATTCTTCTAAAGTTGGCAATTATGTCAAACATGGTTACTCAGGCACACTTGCTGGGCATTCTGTGCTGATGCCATAATTGCTGGGAACAGTGACCATTAAAGCGGATCTGTCACTTTTCAGTATTTCATAAAGTTTTGATCTTTATGAAATATTAATTAAGACTGATTTCAGTGAAATTACGACGCAATTCAAACATATCATAAGACAATGTAGGAGCTTCTTTGCCTAATGGTAAATACTCAAGGTGACTAAAGTTGACAAAACGAGGAGCTCCTCTGTTAACTATGGTCCAATCCCTACAGCCCTCACAAATGACAGCTGTGGCACTCAGGCTTTGTCTATGGAGGATCCTGTTGTCTTCCGGGATCCTTAGTAAACCTCAGTGTTATACACTCATGCATTCGAGAGAGTACAGCACTTATGGGGTTCCAGACAGCTGAAGCGACAGGAGCCGAAAAGACGTGCAGTTTTAACATGGCAGCGGACACGAGGGACAGCCGGAGATAAGAAAAACTCACCTCCTCTGCACCCTGCAGCCACTAGACCCACACCAAATATGTCCATTTTGTGTATGTTTGTCAAATATGCAATTGACAGATCTGCTTTAATTTTATGTCATGACATATGTGCTAGGCACAATGGGGTCTCAAGCAAAAAAGCAATAAATGGGCTGCATATTGAAGGGTAATGAGCATGACCATGTGGTTATGATATTAAGTTATGGGATATTTGCTGGGAGCAATAGGATCACAAAAATATAATATTCCTCAGCGCTGTCCTGTAGGAGTTTGCCCTGGGCTTTACTCAACTTTTGATCCTTTTTTGCTACAAATAATATTCTATGGATTGCTTTTCTTATCAAACTGCATTGTTTTTGTGAAGGAAATCACAATTACATGTTGATTCATATTCTTCAACATTGAAGAAAAGCCACAAACTTACAACAACTATTTAACTAACTTTAATGCAAAGAGCATGCACTGACCAATTTATGTGATATTCATGCTTTTTGCTCAATTTTATATTTTTGGATAAGCTTTTCAAATGATGTAATATTTTTGGATACACTTAGATGAAGTTTCCATTCCGATTTCTGTTGAATAGTTCCTATACTGAGGTCCTGACCCACCATACCGAGTTGGTTCCCTGGTGTCACACATCTGGGGACACCATCACAACCATCACTGCCTGAGTGCATAATTAGATGCACATGCACTGTGCAGAGGGCTCTAGGACCATGCAGAGGGCACTTTAGCAGCACTCTCTGCATGATGTGCTCTATGTGGCGCCAGCTTTCAGTCAGGCTGTTGTGCATTTATGCCAGTTTGACATACCACTTCTGCCAATGAACCAGCCTCTATTCTGCATGGACCCACCTTTTCTGGGCCTCACTGACATGCCCCCCCCCCCACCCCCCAAGGCCTGTGTGCACACCCTAATTTTCTGCAAATGTCTATGCATTAAGCATTGCTAATAGCAAACAGCCAGTTTATATCTACGTCTGTAAAACTCTAAAAGGTTTTCTTAGTCCAAACATGCTTTTAATGTCTACACAGTACTTCTACATCCACTAATACCAACCACCGGTTAGCATTTACAGTTTTGGCTTAAAATGTATTGCTATAGCAACGCC